CACAGTGACGGAGCAGGCGGCACTCCTGCAGTGCCGGCAGCTGCGGGCGAGCGCAGCGAGCCTGCTCTTGCGATGCGGCCCACTGCCTGCTCCCCTGCTACCTCAAAAGCATTCGGTGCGGGCGGGGCGGGGCTCTCCGCCAGGCGGGCGGCCGCCCGCGCCTCGCGGACGCCTCGGCGCCCAGCACGCCGGCGGGGTCTGCCGAGGCTTCCCCTGGAGGGCGCGGGCCCCGAAGCGTCGCCCGGTGGGCGGCCGTGGAATCCCCGCGGGCGCCCCGTGCGCGGGCGGGGCCCGCCGGAGCCCCGCCTGGTGGGCGGCCGTGGGCGCCACGTGGGCGCCCCGTGCGCTGGCCGGGTCCGCCGCGGCTCCGCCTGGTGGGCGGCCCTGCGTGCGTCGGGGGCGCCTCACGCTGCTTCCCCCTGCATCGCTCGCGTTCTTTTGCTTCTGCACAAGCTTGCTTGGACCTCAAAGGCTATATACACCGCAAACAACTGCATCACATAATTGCCCCACAAAACTTAAGCCGCCTAGCTCGCATCACACATAGCTTACACTGCATCGCGTGCACAATCGTGATTGCTCCATGTTGATTGTCCCACAATTATATTGCAACACATCGCCAGGACGCTTCGCTTAGGTTGCACCCAGCAGCGTGCGCAACGTAGCTTGTACACTCCTGACATGCCCGCCACTGTGGACTCCAGACAGTGCGTTCTTGCATTCTAGGTGTGGAAACCATAGGCTGCACGCTACGCGCAGAAAGCTATGCGAGCTGCAGACGAGCTGGTGCAATCCATATGGTATGAGCTACGGGGTTACAGCTGCGTGTTGCAACTTCTGCGGCACAAGCTGTGCTGTGCCGGCGGTGTGGCGCAGGCTGTGTGATGCACACCGTGTGGCGTGAGCTATGACGTGCAAGCAAGCTTGCGCAGCCTCCGTGATGCACACAGCGCAGCTCAGCCGCGCCAGGCGCCCAGCTGGCGCCCACAGCCGCCCTCCAGGGCGAAACCTCGGCAGGCTCGGCCAGCGGACCGGGCACCCGCGAGGCGCCCACGGGCGCGCACCAGGCCGTCGCCCCTCCCGGCAGCGCCCGTGTGCCGCAGCAGCAGCCGGGCTCCGGAATCCTTGCAGCATCCCCTGCCCTGACCTTCCAGGAGGGCTAAAAAATAGCACCCGACGTGAAAACCTATCCCAAAAGCTATTCTACGTCTTGGTTTTGGGCTGTTTCGCTCAGTTTTTAGGTTTCAAGCCTCCAATGCTAAAAAATAGCTCTCTGGAATGTCAGGGTGGCAATCCACCCGGCCCCGCCCGCGTGCCCCCGCGGCCCGTCCCGCGCGCCCCCCGATAATCCCTGGAGATCCCGCCCGCCGGGCTCGCGCTGAAGTCTGAGAGGGCGGGGAGGGCAAGCGGAGGAGTCTCCGATCCCCAGACATGGGCTCAAACTGGAAGCCTCGATACTCGAGGGAGGAGGATGAGGAGAAGGAGGGAGGAGGGAGCAGGAGGAGGAGGAGGATAAGGAGGGCGACGACGAGGAGGAAGGGGGGGCGGACGAAGAAGGTGGAGAAAACGAAAGAGGGAAGACAGAAGGAGGAGGGCGCAAGGCGAAGAGGGCCCTCCCGCACGACAAGTGGAACGCCGCCAGGGCCTTGGATTCAGCTCTATGAGCTCCTGCACGCCGACGACGAGCACGTCGACGAGGTCGCCCTCCCGAGATCGGGGGCTAGGGGCTAGGGGGGGGACAAGAAATATGATAGTCAGGAAAGGAGAAGAGGGGAAACCAACGGAAGGAAGGACCATATGCCAACAAGGATGGCAAGGGGGGAATTCAGACAGAGGGCGTGGAGGATCGAGAGAGAGAGAGAGAGAGAGAAAAAGCGATACATGTATATACATATATACATGTATAATTACATTCATATATATATATATATATATATATACGCGTGTGTTGACGCAGGAAGAATGAGAGAGAGAGAGAGAGAAAGAGAAAGAGAGAAAGAGAGATGGAGGGCGAGAGAGAGAGAGAAACAAAGAGAGAGAGAGAGAGAAAACCAAAAACGAGAGATGTCGAGCGAGAGAAAATGGAGAGAGAGAGAGAGAGACAGAGAGATGTTGTGAAAGAGAGAGAGAGAGAGAACAAAAAAAGAGAGATAGAGAGACAGAGAGAGAAAGAGAGGACAAGAGAGAATAGAGGCTGCGCGCTTCACGGGCGCATGTGTGGAAACAGAGCACGTGGCCCTCCGAAGCCAGGGCGGATCCTTGCCCCACCCACCCCTCCCTGGGCAGCGCGGGAAGCGAAGCAGAAGGCGGGCAACCCGATCAGGACGTTACGCGCAGAAGTAGTAGAAGTAGTAGTAGTAGGAGTAGCAGTAGCAGTAGCAGTAGTAGCAGTAGTAGTAGCAGTAGTAGTAGTAGTAGTAGTAGTAGTAGTAGTAGTAGTCGTAGTAGTAGTAGTAGTAGTAGTAGTAGTAGTAGTAGCAGTAGTCGTAGTCGTAGTAGTAGTAGTAGTAGTAGTAGTAGTAGTAGTAGTAGTAGTAGTAGTAGTAGTAGTAGTAGTAGTAGTAGTAGTAGTAGTAGTAGTAGTAGTGGTAGTAGTCGTAATAGTAGTAGCAGTAGTAGAAGAAGAAGTAGTACTAATACAACTGATCAGTAATAGTACTAACAGTAGTAGAAGATAGTAGTAGTAGTAGTAGTAGTAGTAGTAGTAGTAGAAGAGTAAGAAGAAGTAGTAGCAGTAGTAGAAGAAGTAGTAGTAGTACTACTACTACTACTGCTACTACTAGTAGTAGTAGTAGTAGTAGAAATATTAGTAGCAGTAGTAGTAGAAATAATATTAGTAGCTGTCGTCGTCGTAATCGTTGTACTAGCAGCAGTAGAAGTAGTAGTCGTAGTACTAGTAGTAGTAGTAACAGTAGTAGTAGTAGTAGTAGTAGTAGTAGTAGTAGTAGTAGTAGTAGTAGTCGTAGTCGTCGTCGTCGGGCGAGTCGTAGTAGAAGTGGTGGTAGTAGTAGTACTAGTAGAAGACGTAGTAGTAGTAGAAGTAGTATTGGTAGTAGTAGCAGTAGTCGTCGTCGTGGTCGTGTTAGTAGTAGTGGAAAAGTAGTAGTAGTAATAGTAGTAGTAGGAATAGTAATAGTCGTAATCGTACTAGTACTCGTACTAGTAGTATCAGTAGTGATGGTTGTAGTAGGAGTAGTACTAGTAATTGCAATACTCGTGGTAGTAGTCGTGATACTGGAAGCCGTACTGGTAGTCGTAGTCGTAGTAGTAGTAGTAGTAGACGAAGAAGAAGAAGCAGTAGAGGTAGAGTAGAAGTAGTGGTGGTCCAATTGGAAAAATCAGTAGTCGCATTACTAGTAGCAGTAGTTGCCGTCGCAGTAGTAGTAGTAGTAGTAGTAGTAGTAGTAGTAGTAGTAGCAGTAGTAGTAGTAGTAGCAGTAGTCGTAGTAGTAGCCGTAGTAGTAGTAGTCGAAGTAGTAGTAGTAGTAGTAGTAGTAGTAGAAATAGTAGTGGTAGTAGTAGTAGTAGTAGTAGTAGTAGTAGTAGTAGTAGAAGTCGTAGTAGCAGTCGTAGTAGTAGTAGTAGTAGTAGTAGCAGTAGTAGTAGTAGTAGTAGTAGCAGCAGTAGTAGTAGTAGTAGTAGTGGTACGAGTAGTAGCCGTTGCCGTAGTAGTATTAGTAGTAGCAGTAGTGATGGCGCTGATCAAAAACAAAGGTAGTAGTAGCAGCACCAGTAGTTGTAGTACTCGTATGCATAGGAATGCCATTAGTAGTAGTAGCAGTAAAAGAATCAGTTTTAATAGTAGTGGTATCTGTGGTGATGGGAGTAGTAGTAGCAGTAGTAGAAGTAGTAGTAGTAGCAGTAGTAGTAGTAGTAGTAGTAGTAGTCGTAGTAGTGGTAGTAGTAGTAGTAGTAGTAACAGTAGTAGTAGTAGTAGTAGTAGTAGTAGTAGTAGCAGTAGTAGCTGTAGTCGTCGTCGTAATGGCCGTCGTCGCAGTAATAGAACTAGCCCAGTCCTGGTAGTAAGGGTGATGGTGATAGTTGTAGTCGCCGTAGTAGCAGTAAGGGTGGTAGTAGGTGGTAATATGAGTGGTCGTAATAATCGTAAAAGAAGTCGTAGTAGTAGGAGTAGTAGTTGTAGTAGTAGTCGTAGTAGTAGTAGTAGTAGTAGTAGTAGTAAAAGTAGTAGTAGTAGTCGTAGTAGTAGTAATAGTAAAGGTCGAAGTAGTAGCACTAATCGTTATAGTAATAGCCGTAGTAGTAGTAGGTCTTGTAGTAGTGGTCGTAGTGGTAATCATAGTAATAGTAGTAGTAATAGTAGTAGTAGTAGTAGTCGTAGTAGTAGTAGTAGTAGCAGCAGTAATAGTAGTAGTAGTAGGAGTAGTAGTAGTAGCAGTAGTAGTAGTAGTTCTAGTAATAATGGTGATCGTGCTAGTCGTTGTCGTAATCGTAGTAGTAGCCGTAGCGTTTGCAGTCGCTTTCGCATTCGCAATCGTAATCGCAGTAGTAGTAGCAGTAGTAGTAGTAGTAGTAGTCGTCGTAGTAGTACTAGTACTTATATGGTTATAGTACCAGTTAAAGTAGTGACAGAAGTAGCCGCAATAGTAACACTAGTAGTAGTAGTCGTAGTAGTAGTGGTAGTAAACATAGAAAGTAGCAAGTGCAGCATGAGTAGTAGTGGCAGCAGTGGTAGTAGTAACAGCAGCAGTAGCAGCAATAGGAATAGTAGTCGTAGTTGTAGCAGTAGTAGCAGTAGAAGTAGTAGTAGCAGCCGTAGTACTAGTAGCGGTGATAGAAGTAGCAATAATAGTCGTAGCCGTAGTCGTAGTAGTAGTAGTAGTAGTATTAGTCGTAGTAGTAGTAGTAGTAGTAGTAGTAGTAGTAGTAATAATAGTAGTAGCAGTAGTAGCAGTAGTAGTAGTAGTAGTAGTAGTAGTAGTAGTAGTAGTGGTAATAGTAGTAGTAGTAGTAGTAGTAGTAGTAGTAGTAGTAGTAGTAGTAGTAGTAGTGTCGTAGTAGCAATCGTAGAAGTAGTTCTAGTAATCGTAGTAGTAGCAGCAGTAGTCGTGGTAGTAATGATAAGCATGGCCTTACGTGGAATATTCGTATTAGTAGCAGTAGTAGAAGTATTAGTAGTAGTAGCAGTAGTAGTAGTAGTACTAGTCGTCGTCGTAGTAGTAGTAGTAGTAGTTATAACCGTCGTCGCCGACGTCGTCGTCGTAGCCAGTGAAGTCGTAAGCGTAGACGCAGTCGACGTCGTAGTCGCACTTGTTGTCGCAGTAGAAAGCGTCGTCGTAGTAGTGGTAGTAGTAGTAATAGTCGTCGTCGCCGACGCCGTTGTAGTAGATGCAGTACAAGCAGTAGTAGCAGTAGCAATAATAATAGTAGTCGTAGTATTAGCAGTAGTAGTAGTAGTAGTAGTAGTAGTAGTAGTAGTAGTAGTAGTAGTAGTAGTATTAGTACTAGTATCAGTCGTAGTCGTAGTAGTAGCAGCAGTAGTAGTAGTAGTAGCAGTAGTAGTAGTAGTAGTTGCAGTAGTCGTAGTAATAGTAGTAGTAGTAGTAGTAGTAGTAGTGGTAGTAGTCATCGCAACAGTAGCGCCAGTATTAGTAGTCGTAGTAGTAGCAATAATAATAGTAGTGGTGTAGTACCCGAAGTGGTTGTAGTAGAAGTAGTAGTAGTAGTAGTAGTAGTAGTAGTAGTAGTAGTAGTAGTAGTAGTAGTAGTAGTAGTAGTAGTAGTAGTAGTAGTAGTAGTAGTAGTAGTAGTAGTAGTAGTAGTAGTCGTAGTAGTAGTAGTAGTAGTAGTAGTAGTAGTAGTAGTAGTAGTAGTAGTTAGTAGTAGTAGTAGTAGTAGCAGTAGTAGTAGTAGTAGTAGTAGTAGTAGTAGTAGTAGTAATCATAGTAGTAGTAGTCGTAGTAATAAAAGTAAGAGCAGTAGTAGCAGGAAGAGTGCGTAGCATCCCGCGGTTGCGGACGAGAGTAAGGTGGCGGCGGGGGCGTCGTCAGTCTGGAGGCTCTGAAGAAACCCGTCGCAGGCGCCTACTTCTTACAATATATATACAACGAGCTCGCCACATGTGAAGATTTTTCGATCAGAGCAAGCTGAGTGGGTCGCGGGGTGGCTCGCGGGTGGGTCGCGTGCCCGCTGAAAACTTCCCGCCCGCCAAGCCTGCTTTTCAGGGTCCGCCCTCCCGGCCCGCCCGTTAGGGTTCGCCCGCCGACCCGCGATTTAGGGTTCGACTTCTCGTATACAGGAAAATTCAATGTATTGCCTGCATCGTCGCCGTGACAACGTTGATACATTGCCTGCGTCTTCGCTATCGGTCGTCGCAGTTGTCGTCTTTAGCCGTCGTCATCGTGGTCGTCGGCGTGGTCCTCGTCGTCATTTGTCGCCGCTGGCGCTGTCGTCGACGGAGTCGCCGTCATCCATCTCGTGCTCGTCGTCGTGATCGTCGGCGTGGTCGCGACCAAGTGTCCCCCTGGTTTCGACTCCCCCTGGGATGACGGGGCGTAGAATCAAATGGTCCCTCCCCCAGCCCCTTGGTTCGAGGTTGGGGGGGTGCTCCCTTCCAATCTTCCTTTCGCGCCAGCAAATGGAAAACGCCAATGCCGACGACCCCGAAGGCGACGACGACGACGACGACCATAACGACGGCGAACCCAGCGACAACCGACGACGGCGACCACCACGACGATCGACGACGACGACGACGCCGACAAATTTGAGCAGACAACCGGCCCGCTATTAATGGCAAAAGCAATCTCCCCATTGGTGATACGGTCTTCCTCCCAATCATCGGCTGCTTTCCGCGTCGCCGGTCCGTGGGCCCAGAGGATGGCAGGCACAAAGGAACAACCGCCCTCCTGGCGCTCGAGGCTGGAGGGGCAAAAGCAGGACGGGGAGGAACCGGAGAGGCAAGAGCGGTGCAGGCAGGAGAAGGCAGCAGGAGCAGGAGGGGAGAGAGCGGCGGGAGAAGGAGAAGGGAAGGGAAGGGAGTAGACAGCGGAGACGGAAGAAGGAGGAGGAGAAAGAGCTGGAGGGTGAGGAGGAGGAGGAGGAGGAGGACGGCGGAGGGGGAGGGAGGGAAGGAGGGGACGGAGGGAGGGAGGAGGACGACGGTGACGAGGAGGGTGAGCAGGAGCAGGCGGTGGGCAGGAACCGCCCGATGTCGACGGCCCCGCCTGGAGCCATTGGCTCAGGTCCTCCTGGCAATCGACGCCCCTGCCCATGAGGTTCCAGGAGCAGACGCGAACGGTCAGCTCGCGGGGCTGTCCTGCGCTCGTTTTCCCCCCGCCACGGAGAGGAAAACTGGGGGGGGAGGGGAGGGCAAAACGCAAGGAGAATACGCCACTGGTGGATAAATGGCGTGCGTGCGCCAAGTGCTCCGGGAGTCCCTGCGAAACGAACGACCCTTCGGGAAAGCTATCTCCGCCGTGGAACCTTTTTTCCGGCGTTACACTCCTCAGAGCGGCGATGTTTCCACACACATGCAGACATCAGAAAAAATCATGTCAATCAAGGGCAGCTCACGCGCTCAGGCGTGGTTCTCCTACCTGGCCGAACGAGGCAATGATACACCCTCCGTGGCCCATCAGTGCCTCGGAAATGGTGGGGGCAATTATGATCGCCCCCACTTATCAAACACTTACAAGCCGCTTGCTAAATTTGTTGCGGTGATCTTGCGCCGAAAAGGAAGAGGGACAACAAGGAAACATAAATAACATAAACCACTGAGAGAGGCGGGCGAGGAGAAGCGAAGGAGGAGGAGGAGGATGAGGAGGAGGAGGAGGTATGGTGCATATAAAACGACGAGGATGAACTCAGCCTGGGAGGAGGAGCGGAGGGAGGAGGAACCAGGAGGAAGGAGGAAAACGAGGAGGAGAAGGGAACGGCACGAGGGGCGACGATTGCGAAGGTGGCTGCCCTCGAGGAGGGCGAGATCTTGCATGGGTCTGCGTACGCAAGGCGTCGCCCCGCTGCACCCCCCAAAATTTCACGAATGTGGCAGCAGCTGCGCCTTTGGCAACCCACAGAAGGAAAACGCAGCAGTGCCTAATACAACGCTGGACCATAATGCGAAAGGAGGAAGGGACGGACACGGACACCACAGTACTCTATTCCAAACAAAGACCCACAGAAGGATGATACAACAACAAACAATAAGCCGACGCAAGCACTGAGCACACACACGCACACACACGCACACACGCACAACCACACATTTGTTTTTGCGTCGGCGGCTGGGCAGAGGACGACTGCTCCGGCGGATTGGCAACAGGGGACACGTTGTATGCGGGCCCCAATACAAGGAGGAGGAGGAGGAGGAGGAGAAGGAGGAGCAGAAGGAAGAGGAGGAGGTGGAGGAAGAGCAGGAGGAGGAGCCTTGGCGCGACAGGGGCGGGCATACCAGGCCACTCAGAGCTGCCGACTGCGGCGGGGGGGTGCGCCGAGGGGTGAGGACCAGCGCCGTCATTGATCAGCACTGAGCTGAACCGAGCTGAAGCTGGGGGGGGGGGCAGCACTGATCTGCAACTTGTAATGAGTTGCACAAAATAGCAGAGTCCCAACCCAGTGAACCAAGGCACGGTCCAAGGATGGGCCGATGCGCTGAAACCTGCGGGCCTACGAGGCGCGGGCATGGAGAGGTTGAAGGCGGGCAGGTATGAAGGCACCACGGGCGAGGGCGCCGAGGGGAAAGACTGGCGACGGCTCTGCGCTGCACTGAGCGGCACTGAGCAGGGGCGCGCTGGCCGCCGGCTGAGAGGAGCTGCTGGAGCTGCGCCGTCTCCCGGAACGTCCGCTAGCAGGACTGGAAGGGGGAGCTCCCCCTTCGCCCCGATCGCGGGGGGCTGGGGCTCCTCCCTGCCCGGCCCCGCCCGGCCTCAAGGGGAGCTTCTGACGACTCCGCGCGCGCATCCCTGGCGCTGGTGCGGACTGGCGCAGGCCCGCGCCCCGACGAGGTGGGGGGTTCATTGGCTGGGGGCTCGCCGCTCTGCTCCGCGCGCGGGGCGCTGTCGCTGGGGCGCTGGGCTGTCGACTCTTCCTTGGATTCGGATCTTGGAGGACAGCCAGCTGCCGCCCGCGCTCCCCGTAAGGGCGAGCCTTTTCTCTGCCGCGGCTTCGCGGGCACCCTGCGCCAGTGGGCGCTGGAGCGACGCCATCCCCCTTGCGCCCGAGTAGCCGAGCAAGATTTCCCGGCTATGCCACGCCGGGCCTCGCCCCTTCCAGGGCGCTCGAGGGTCGCGCTTGCTGCGGTGCGCGCCGGATTCGTCGGGCACCGCGTGCGAGCTGGAGGGGGCTCGGGGGCCCCGGCGATGCAGGTGGTTGACCAGAAGGGCCAGGGTGGCGCGCCTGCCGCCCCCACTGGACTCACGGGGGGATTCAAGATTGCGGAATGGACTCGCTGCGAACGGAAGCCAGAAACTCCTGGCAGCACGCCTCGGGCCGAGCTCTGGGGTCAGAGGGGGGCCCCGCGCCTCTCTTGGGCTGGCGTGGCGAGTTGTCAACGTTTCTATCTTGTCGCCGGGGCTCCCGGTCGTCTTGTCGGGGTGGATGTGCCCGGCTGCCTGCGGGGTGGCAATGGCTCTCGCATACTCAGGCGGGGGCAGGCCGGAGGACTGACGCTAGGGGGGGCGGCCATGCAGGAGGCCAGGGGGGCCCTGACCTTCCAGAGAGCTATTTTTTAGCACTGGAGACCTAAAAACCTAAAACGCTGAGCGAAACTGCCTAAAACCAAGACGTATAATAGCTCTGGGATAGGTTTTTAGGTCGCGTGCTATTTTTTAGCCCTCCTGGAAGGTCAGGGGGGGGTCGCAGGGGCAGAAGCCCGCTCCGCCCGCGCGCCGCCGCTCGCCCCTCGCTCGAGCCAAGCCTGCTCGGCTGGCGACGCGCCCCGGTGGGAGGGCTGCGAGCGTCTGCGGGGCGGCCGCTGGATGACGCCCTGCGCCGCCGCGTGGAAGCTCGCCGCGAGGCGCCGCGGCCGCTGGCGGTCGGGGGCCCGCGCGAGGTTGCCCTGCGGTCATCGGAGAGGGGCGGTCGGATACCGACTCTGTGGGCCTGCTCCTGGGCAGGCCGGCGTCGCCCGGTCCGCTCGCTTCCAGGCTGCGGGGCCGCCGTCCGGCCGGCCGCGAGCGGGGGCGCTGCCGAGGGGAGGTGCGCAGGTCGGACGTGCCCGCGGCCTTCGCTTCTTGCTGGGGGGCGTCTGTCTTCGGCAGGGTGGCCCAGGCCCCTCGCCAGACGTCGTCGGGGGGGCGGGGGCCGCCCGCTGCTCCGCCTCGGTTCCTGCGAAGTCCTGGGCCCAGGAAGAAGTGGCCCCTTGCCTATCTCGCGCAACTCCCTGGGGCGCAGGGCGCGACCGCTCCTGCCATGGATGGGCCGGACCTGGCTGGGGCGAGTATCCCACAGATGCATGAAGCAGTCTTCGCAGAACCAGGTGGCGTTCCACTGCGCGTTGGCGAAAGCTTGCGCGCTCGTTGGGGACTGGAAAGTCCGCCATGCAGCAGCACGTCCTTTCCGGGACAGAAGATGAACGCGTGCCATGGGGGCGTCTCCGCGCGGCCGATGCTTCATTGGGGCGTCGCATGGGCAGCGATCGCATTGGCCCTTCTAGAAGCCACAATTGAAATTCCTGCCGAACCGTCTATGGCGCGGAATGCGGGAATGGCGGCGCGTGCGCGGGCGGGGTCATGCGGGCCCGTCGGGACTAGCAGGAGGTCTGCCAGTGGGGTGTTTCCACGCGGTGTGGGGGTCGCGGGTTATGCTTGTGGATGGCGACGTCCAGGGCGCATGTGACCATCCTGCGCAATACATTGCGCGCCTTGGGGGAGCCATCGTCCTCGGGTCCGAATCCGGCCATGAACTCGATCTCGTAGATCTGGCTTGGGTGTCCCAAAACCGTGTGACGACAAGCCCGGCGGTGACCTCGAGATCCGCAAAGACCTCACCGCACGGTCCGTCCCCACACGGCTTTGGGACCCTGGAGGCTCCAGTCGCCGGAGACATCCTCGGAGAACGGCCCGAGTCCCAAAACCGCGCGGTGACCCCGAATCCCCACCGACTCACCACACGGTGTGGTCGCCACCCCGTTTGGGAGCACCCAGCTGGCTGGCAGGACTTCCAGCCTTTGGCTTGAAACTCCCACTGTCACCTGGGGGGCCAGGGTCGGGGCACCTGGAACGGGCCCGATGGGGCGCTGCAGGGGCTGCAGGGGGGGAGAGTAGCAGAGGTGCGAGGAGAAGTGGACCCCTGGTCAGCTCCTCTCTAGATTTGGCTTGATTTTGTCAGCCGAGGCTGATCAAGGTATCGTGTCCTAAGCTGTGTTTGCTGCTAGGGGCGGGTGGCACTGACACCTGCCTCCACAGAGAACAGAACAGAACAGTACCTTGCCCTGGTGCGCCCAGCACACAGGCTGGCAGGGCTGTCGTCTGTCAGTAAGTCTGGTGAGTGGGGTGCTGGCGTGCCTGGCTCGCTGAGGGGATCGCCCTCTGGGATGCGAAAGAGCTCGGGACACGCGGCAATGGGAGTCGCCTGGGATGAGCTGGCAGCACCGCCGGCGTCTTGAGCTGATCCTGCCCAGTAAAGAGGGGTGCGGATAGCGAGTCCTGGTGGCTCCACGCGAGCTTGATCCGCCCCTGCCTTGTTCTGGGAAGGCTTTTCCGCACATTTCATCCAATGTTTTTGCCCCGGCTTACCGGGGGCATCCACCCAGTGGGGGCGTTCGCTGGGGGGTAGTATTCGTGGGCGGGGTCCCAATCCCCGTCCACAAAGTCCCACGACTGCACCTCTTCTCCATCCAAGAGCCCATGGTGGGGTTTCAACCATCCTGGGTACCGCTTGGCTACTCAGTCATTTCGGAGATGGGTCCATGGTTTGCCAGGTCCGTCACAATACATGGTGTTGGGGAGCCCTACGGCCCAGTTGTGGATGGCCCTAGTGTGCCTTTCATCTTCAAAGTGCGCCTTGTCTTGAACGAAGGTGTTGTCGAGCTCGCACTGCCACATCCACCAATGGTCCTTAGTCCTGCCCACCTCATGAACGGACACCGCCGGCATTGAAAGCGCGGCCTCCCCCCTGTGCTCGCGCAAGGGCTATGGAGGTCGGGGGCAAACACTGCGGGCCACCGCTGCATTGGCGTGGCCATGGGGAGCAACGAATAGTTGCACGATGGAAGCGGGACACACACATACACGCAGACACTGACCGGATATGACCCTCGCCGTTGCGCCACGAGCTCTCGTCTTCAACAGCTCGAACAACTACGCGGATCGAGGGCCGCTCGATTTCTTTCAGAACGGTGCACTCGCCGCTGCGCCGCGCACGACCGTCATAAGAAATTATGACATTTACGCTGACGTGCGGCGGCTCCGTTTCAGACCCTGTTTCTCCCTGGAAGACGTCTCCAGCGCGTGCGGCCGAACGCTGACAACTGTAGAACAGCTGCACGGACGAAGGGCGGCTCCCTGACAGAATGGGGGTGCCGCCTGGGAATGCCTTGGGTCGTGTGACAAGAACCTGCTGCGATTGCGCAAGTCTTACAAGATGGTAGGGGACCGTTGTCATGACGGAGCTCTTGCTGGACACAACCTTTTTGACTTCCTTCTTCCATGAGGATCCCTTTCCAGCTCCACATTTAAAAGATTATCTTCCGTGGCATCCACAGACGCCCTTCTATCATAACAAATCCGTGTACCATTATATATACAACAATGGTGTTATGTTGCACACGGTTGCTGTGTTACACACTGGCGCCGTGGTGTACACGGGTGCTGTGGTGCACGAAAGCACTGTGGTGTACACGGGTGCTGTGTTGCAGGCGCTGTGGCGCTGTGGTGTAGACTGGCGCTGTGTTGCACGCAGCTGCTCTGGTGTACAGGCGCTGTGGTGTACACAGGCGCTGTGGTGCACGCACGCACTGTGGTGTACACAGGCGCTGTGGTGCAGATCGCCACCTACATGCTGCTGCTACCCGTCCTCGGTCATACCTAAGCATTCCCAGACGCCGCCAGCGCGAAACGCGACGTCACCGGTCCCCTTCCCCCCACCCTCCCCCCCGGTGACGACCGCCATCGCACCGGAATAAAAAAACAGATCCCGAGACGGTGCCAGGACGGCCCAGGAGAGCCCCAAAGGTCACCCGAACTCGACCGACGGAATGGCCGCAAAACCACGATCCCTCCTAAACCCAAAGTGTTCCTTGCTTGAGCGCCTTGCCTGTACGGGCAGTAACTTTTGCTTTGCGTGTCGCGGCGGCGGCCCCGGCGACACGCTATGCCCTGCGAGAGGATAGCGTGTCGCTCCGCTCCGCGGGGCGGGATGATGGGAAAGGCTCGGGACGCCGACGCTGGGCGACATGGACGTGGGGCAAGAACTGGCGAAGCGACACGCCAAGTCTGGGTTCCTGACCACATGACGCCCCGAGAAGGCTCGAGAGGGCCCAGGCTTAGTGGGCCCTGGAAACGGCAAGGCCTTTATTTCACAACTTCCGAAAAAATGTCTCTTCAAAAAAGAAGCGGCAAAAGAAAACGGCGGGCGACCTGAGGCTACAAAAAAAACGACTCCAGGAATGGAGCCAGAGCCCGAAACGGAACAACAACAAAAAACACGTCGACGGAACCAGCAAAAGAAAACGGCCAGGGAACCGGCCCAAAAAACGGCAAAGCGGAACCGGTAGAAAACGGCCCTGGCCAACGCTCGGACTTCCATTTCCTGTGTTTTTTCGGTTCCGAGCGTGGTTTTTGTCGAAGGATGATCCAGGATGCTCCTGAATAATCCCCGCCGGGCAAAAAAGTGCACACGTCCGAGCGATGCCGACGGCCCCGTCGCTTCCAGGGCCCACCGAGCCCGAGAAGGCTCGCGAGGGCTCAGGGATGCCCCCGAAGTTGAGCAGGGACCGACCGTCCCGGCATTCCTATACCTATAGTCCTACCACGAAATGTTCTTAGAACCCCGAAATGTTCTAAGAACAAAAACAATGTTCTTGGAACAGAAACCCGATGTGTTCAAACAAGACAGGCTCCGCCAGAAATGCTCTGAGAACGTTAACTTGAAACCCCAAGAGATTCTTAGAACATTGCTAGGTCTGGCCATAGGCGAGCCCGGACGCTTCGCCACTGCCTGACGAGGTGCGGCGGCCCCGCGTGCGGCGGAGCGGGGCCGCCGTCCTGCGGCTGCCCGCCGCGGCGCCGGCGCCCCCGCGGGGCCGCAAGCCGGCTCGGCCGCCTGCGGAGCGGAGGAGGCGCGGGCCCGCGTCGCCGGGCAGCGGGGGGCGCGCCGAACACAGGCGAGGCGTGGACCTACAGGCCTCGGACAAAAAAATAGCGAGCACTCATGCCGCATTCATCTGTGAACGCCTCCCCCTCCCCCCAGTGTTCAAAGTTGGCGGTGGGTCTGATGAGTTGCACCTCGACTGCAGTCCCCCCCCCCGCGTGCCAACTTTGAGTTTGGGGGGCAGGGGGGGTGTTCACTAATTGTTTCCCTCTACCGTAAGGAGCCCTTCATGAGGAACGGGGCCCCTTTTTTCCATAAGTTTTACACTTCGATTTCCCGTGGGGAACATCAGGAACATCTCAGGCAGGCTGCGAAACAATTCAGGAACACCGAGCCCCTCCCAACGAAAGGGGTTCCTTCTTCAGCGCCCCGATTGTAGGCTGCGCGCAACGAATGGCCCCAAGGCAAGATGGCCCGAGGCAAGATTGGCCTTTGTGTACAGGCCTCCCAGGTGGGGTCCGAGTGGATGGGGTCGGAGGATCTCGCCGCATCGGCGCTACATCGTCCATACATCGCCAATGCATCGGCGAGGAATCGGCGACGTCGGCGATGCATCGGCGCCGTCGGAGTGGAGACAATCAGGCTCCATATCGAGCCGCATCGGCGATGCATCGACGATGCATCGACGATGCATCGGCGATGCGGCGCGATCCTCTGACCCCATCTACTCGGACCCCATCTGGGAGGCCCAGAGACCTTTGGTGCGCGGCTGTAGGGGCCCTCGGCGGGGCCAAGTCCAAGCGCGCAAGCGAGTGCTGGGGGGCACTGGGAAGGACCCTTCCTGGGCCCGCACCAAGCGCCACTCCTGCGAAGGGTCACTCTGACGTGTAACCGAACCGAGGGAAAAGGCCCCGCCCGGGCCCCGGGGGCTGAAAACGTTGCGGGTGCTGCCCTCCCAAAAGTTTTGAACACATCTTCCGCGAATTCGCTTCCAGCAGCTCCCAGTAGGCACATGAGGGGGGCCTGCCTGATCAGTAGTGCGCCTCCTGAGTCATGGAGGAGCAAGTTGCATCGGTGGTTGTGCCTATACCCTCTGTGCAGGAAGGCGCGGCGCTCGCACAGGGCTCGCCAATATGTGGGGAGAGAGAAAGCAGATATACATCGATGGGGAGAGAGAAAGAAAGGCATATATATGCATTTACATCTGCAAATGGCGTTGTCAAATAACGAAGTGAGAGTAGGAACGAACTCGCAACACACAGTGTGGGCTAAAGCGTCTGCCTACTAAATCCTGGCTGAGGTACCAAAGTGCTTCGTGCTGAAATAACCAAGGTACGTAGTGGCGGCTGATGAGGACGAGCGCGCTAAGCACACGGTTCTGGATGAGCACGTGGAAGGATGACCGAAACCATGTCAGAACAAGATGCATGTGACAAACGAACTCGTGCATGTACAAAGACCTTGCGACGCCTGGGTCACCACCTACGTGTGCTGGCGTGTGCTGCCTTTGGTGGGGCGTCACCGCTGACCGACAGAGCGCCGAGGATGCGAAGCTGGCCGCGGGGCTTCCTCGTCGCTGCCAAGGGTGTTGGCCCTCGTCCCCTCGAAACTGCCCAGGGTGTTGACCCTCGCCACGGAGCTGCACGTGGTGCTCGTCTCGCTGAGGGTGCTGGTGAACCGGGGCCGTTTCCTCAGCTGGCCCACTATCTGCGACGAAAGGCCATGTCACGGGACGCACAATTTGTGCGGCACAAAGACATACGAGTACAATGCATCCTCCCCGGAGGCGTGCATCCGACCCAAACCCCGAACATATACTGTGTTCATCTCGTAGTAGGTCGTTTCCCGAGTGCTACGGCCAGAAAGCGCCCATCACGACGCATATACTAGAAAATTTCTCGGCGCGCGCGTCGCCCCTGGGGGGCGACGCGCACATAGCATTAGTATGTTGGGGTGGCGCCGATGTCGCCGATCCTCCGCAAAACCAAACGTGTCATTGCCCATCGGCACGGTGCTCTCTTTTCTGCACCTCGGCCCGGCAAACCGAGGGAGGTCCCGAGCGCGAATCCTGCCGTGACGAGAACGAAACCCGCTGTGAAGCACACGGCAGCAGAGCGTGAAACCAGAGAGCGATGATGAGTAGACTGCGTGGCGCACGACAACGGTTACTTGCCACAAAGATGGCACACTCGGCGGCGCAGGAATGCCGTGACCAGGCCAGCCTGCATGCGACACCTCGTGCCAGCGCCCCGACCACGCCAGGCTGCGCGCCCGGTCCACCGGGGCCAGAAGATCAGACGGGCGGCTCCCCGTGCATGCCAGGTCGCCAGGCTCCGCGCATGGCGCCCCGCGATGCGCGGTTACCTTCACGCCCTCGGGCGCGCCCCAGAACATGCGACGATCATGACAAACTGGAGCATCACATAAGAGCACAGAACACATAAGAGCAGAACGTGGCAGAACAGAAGACGACACAACGCAACACACCATAACAGAAACGAGCATAGCACAACACACCTTGACGGAACTTACGATACATGACGCAGCATCACATAAGGAACCAAAGCACGCCAGCGGAGCATAGCGACGACGAGCACGACAGAACACAACACGATACAACATAACATTACAAAACATACCACTAACATGACAAACCATGGCAGAATAGAACACAGCGAACGCATGAAAAACGCCCCCCGCCCCCCACATGACAAATTTTAGACGGGTGGGACCATCGGGCGACGCGCGAACTGCGAGCGGAAACAGCCCGACGGTCAGCCAATGACAACGCCGCGCGGTTCAATGCGGACGGCGCGCTGCTGCTATGCTCGTTGGCGTTTGGGGTTGGCGTTGCTTTGTGTTGGCATGCGGCCGATGCCCAAAGTCATTGTGGACGTTCGCGCGCTCGTGCCAGGGCAGAAACCAAGGGGCGCGTCGGCCCTGAGCGGCGCTGGAAAAAGTCTGGGACGGCGCCCAGGGCCCGCCCCGCACGGGTGCGCATCGAAAAATTTAGATCCACCCCACAAACAGAGTTTAGGCACCAGGCAAAACATATATATATATATATATATATATATATATATATATATACATACATATATATATATAGAAAAAAAAACATACGCATACACACATACATACATACGTACATACATACATACGTACATACATACAGACATACATACATACATACATATACATACATATATATATATATATACAGGTGGCACGTGTGTGCCCAGGCTGATACCAAAAAACTGGAAGGGCGTGTCAAGCAGGAAGGCACCATGACGGCGGGATCGGAGATGGAGAAGGGGAAGCTGGGGCGGCGCCGCCAGGGCGTGCTTAAGAGAAGGGGAAGATGCAGGAGGTGAACGCAGAAACATCGAATATCGAATAAGAGCCCCCCCAAAGGATTGAGGATCGAGCAGGAGGATCGACGAGGGGAATGCCTCTCCGAAGTCAGCGTTGCGAGGATGTCTCAGGCGAAAGTGGCCTGACCACCTCAGCTCAGGGCATCTCGGAGATCAGAGTTGCGAGGACGTCTCAAGCGAAGGTGACCTGAACACCTGAGTTCAGAGCATATTGGAACCCAGAGTTGCGAGGATGTCACAAGCGAAAATAAGGTTGCCACACCTTGCGATGTGTGTACCAGGGCCCTCCAGGAAGCCTCAGGAAGCCCGACTCGGATACCGGAAGAGGCTCCAGGAGACCCCAGGATTGTGAGTGTTGTGTGTGTGTGATGTGTGTGTGTGTGTTCTGTGTTGCGCGTGTTTTCTGAGCGTGGTAAGTGTTGTGTGTGTCATGTTTGTCTAGTGTGTGATGTGTTGGGTGTGATTTGTGTCTCTGTGTGCGCATGTAGTTCTGAAACCCCAGGAGGCCCCGGGAGGCCCCAGGCGGCCTCAGGAGGCCCTAGGAAACCCCAGGAGGCTCCAGGAGACCCCAAGAGGCTCCAGGAGGCCGCAGGAGGCCCAAGGAGGTCCCAGGAGGCCCCAGGAGACCCCCAGGAGGCTCCGAGTCGGGGTCAGGGGTGCCAGAAAGGTATAGAAAACCCCAGGACGCCCCAGGAGGTTCCAGGAGGCCCCGAGGTGGCTCCGAGGCGGGGTTTGGGGTACCACAAGGTACGTCGGGGCTCGATTTTGGGAGGATGTCTCAAGCGAAACCGCCATTCTCTGAGAATCGGGGTCAAACTATTGAAATTACAATGTGTTTTTGAATGTTGTATGTTAAACGGTTGAAATTCCCAAGTGTTTGTGGACCCTGACGTCACGGTCTGTGTGAAGGGTGCCACCGGTTCTCCGAATTTCGAGGATGTCCCTCGCGAAACGGCCAGATAAGTCGCGAACGACGCGGCGCGTACGCACTAATCGCTCTGAACTCTATTCCCTCGGAGAGGCGCGTATGATAATATTTTATATATATACATACACGCATACATACATACATACATACATACATACATACATACATACATACAGATATATAAATATATACAATTGTATAGATAAGCTCTAAATAAACATCGGCCCAAACTTTTCCGAAGCGACAAGTCTCGCGCGGGAGAGCCCCCAATAGTTATATAAACAGAAAATTGCGTGCGTGTATATATATATGCGTATTGGAACAATTGCCTCAAGAGAAACGCTCCCGATCTAAACTTGTCCGTCGGCGGGTTACGAGGGGGCGACGGAAGCGGGAGCGGAGGCCCTCGGCTGGGCCAGCGGCGCGGCCATGCGAGGGAAGGCGCCCGCGTCACCTCAACCTGCATGCCGCAGCCGTGGCACGCACGGCCGTGGGAATGCCGGCGCGGGCGCGGCCGCGTCGAGTGGGCCCGGGACGTCGCCGCGCGCGCGGGCCCCCCCCGCGGCAGCTGGCAATGGCCTCGCCGACAGGGCGCCTGCACTTACGCACATCAGCCATACATGCAAAACTCTGACATGCAAAATCCATAGTTGTGGGGGCTGGGGTCGGTTTCCCACTGTTCACGCAGTGTCATGACAATATAGAGCAGAACAGAACATCACCGAACATGCCAGAGCAGAACTTGAAAGAACAGGACAGCGCAGATGACAGAACAGAAGACGCAGAACACGACATAACATAACATAGCCGCGCATGGCATGACGCACCTTGCCAGAACATTTGAAAACCATGACACACCAGCACACAACATATCATAACACGACAGCGGAGCACAGCGACGACGAACACGACAGAACACAGCACGACACAACAGAACATGACAGAACAGAACACTAGCATGGCAGACCGTGGCAGAACATAACATAGCAGTGTCATGACAAACAAGAGAAACACATACAATACCAGAGCAGAGCATGACAGAACAGAAGACAACATCATACAACATAACCGAGTATAACACAACACACCTTGACATATCATATCATATCATGACACACCAGCGCAGAAGAAAACATAACACGTCAGCAGAGCACAGCGACACATACAAGCATAACATACCATGGTATACTATACAGAGCCGAACCGTCAACAAGCATAGCATCACAGAACATGCCAGTGCCGACCATGACATAACAGAAAACGAAATAACACAACATAGCAGAACATAGCCGAGCATGACATTTCTCACCTTGACATAAGAGATCAAACTATAGCATGGCAGCATCACAGCACATGTCAGAAAACGACAGCAGATCATAGCGAAACATACTAGCAGAGCGTATCATGCTATACTATACTGAGCCGAGCTGTCAACAGCATCACGAAACATATCGTACTAGAACATAACCTGGCATAGGTAACATATCATGCCATATCATAGTGCCACATGGTGACTGGTATGAGATAAGGTAGCATGCTTTTCATAAGAGAAATATATAAATTAAGATGAACATCGTAACAAACGGCTCATCTAACGTCACAGGCGTCACGGCGTCACGCTGGCACGTCGAAAACATAACAAGACATACTAGAGCATGACCTGAAAAGAAGTGACTGCATGGAACACGGTTGAACCGTTTCTGAGTCCAGAGATGGCAATTTTGCAGTGGTGGGAGGAGGAGGAGGAAAAGTAGGGAGGAGAGGTCCCCCTTACCTCCCTCCTCTTCCTCCTCCTCCTCCTTCGTCGTCAGCCTCCTCCTCCTCCTGCTCCTCCTGCTGATGCTCTTCCTCTTCCTCTTCCAAAAGGCTGCGGCTCTCTATCCGTTTCGCACCGCACATGTGCGAAGCTTGTTTTTTTCGTCCTGGGGTTTCATTCAAATTCTTTCGTCAAGAGCTCTGGGGTTGTTGGATTTGGAGACAACGGAATTCGCCACCCGGCCCGACCGCCGCACTGGCCGAGACCACAGGGCCCCGCGCGCAGTGTTCCACCAACTAGGCGACCGCGCGCCGTCGGGAACAAACATCTAAGGCTTCGGTGGGGATCGTTCGAAGCAAAATAGATGTTCTCGATGTTCGTCTTCCTCCCCACTTCCCATCTGTTCCCATATATTCCTGGGGATCGGCGATTGATTGTGCTTGTGCCGACTTTTCCCTCCTGAAAATATACGGGGGAGAGGCAGGGGGAAGGAGAAGGGGGAGGGGGGAAGGTGGAGCAGGAGGGGCAGGGGCATGAGGGCTTTCCCGCGCGCCACCCATGCAGGAGGGCTGCTGGGGACGTGGAAGTCTGCGCCGAAAAACACAGCAACCAGGTGATTGAAGGGGAACTGGAACACACAAATAAATACACACAAATAAAAAGATTCCCCATATTTTCTCATATTTTCTGGGTTTTTGTCTTCCCCCCCACTTCCCATATTTTCCCATATTTTTGGGGGAATCGAGGATTAATTGTGTCTGTATGTTTTTTCCCCTCCTGAGTGATGCTGGAGCTCCAGGGGAAGCGAGCGAATCTAGACCTGAAAAATTGGAAAAGGGCGAAAACTGTGGGATACGGTGCTCATTGTAACGTCTCGCTTTGAATCATGACCATTGCCATCCCTGGCTGCGCCCGATCTCGTTCTTGACTTCGTGCGCTCCTCGTTTCCATTCCCCGGGATGCGATGATCAATCTTCATAGGCAGGGCCAAAGCGATAGGGAAACGAACGGAAAGTTGGCCTCTCGAACTAGGTGCGTAGGCTTTTTGGCCTCCGAGTCGGGAGTCTGAGGACGGAGCCACACGAACTCGGGACCCTGGCCGTGTGCCACACGTTTTGGAAACCCTGGCCACGCCCGCGCTGACATCTCCTGGCGGGGACCAGCTTTGACCTCTGCCGGCTTCTCTGGGCCTTCCGCCGGGGATGGGACTAACAACAGCCTTCATCTCGGGGGAACAGGAGGCATGGGTACCGCTGCTCCCAAGACCTCTCCACGGGTGAGTTCCGACGAGATGTTCGGAACGAGTCCAGCCGTGGCGACGGGAGACGGGCAGCGCCATCGGCATCCGGTTCCTCTTCGGACCGGCAGATCGGTCTTGTCGAGCCGCCAGCCCCTGGACCCCTCGACCCCCGGAACCAGCCCTTGATCCCGCGAGCGAGCCGTTTTTCTGCTGACGGCCCCCGGGCCCGGGAACGGCCTCCAGAGGCGCCAGGCACGGCACAAAAACCCGCGGCGCGATCTCCTCGAGCGGGCGCCACGGGATCTCTGGCGCGACCCGCCCGTCGACCCCCCGCTGGCAGGAGGAGGCCCCCTCTCCTGGGGCGCCCCCGTGCGTGCCGCTCGGCGCAGAGGGAGCGCTGGAGTCCAGGAGAGTCCTGGGCGTCGCTTCATGGCGTGGCGATCGTGGGGGGGGGGAAGAAAGGTGCACCCCTTGGGCACCTTTTCTGCTGCCCTCGCTGCCCCCCCCCCCCATATTTATGGCCATCCCACTACGCGACGCCCAAGAGAGTTCACACTCGGCCAGTCCCCGGGTGGCGCACAGGGTCTCTGATGCCACATCAGCTCCAAGACGGAACGTTCGGAGACGTCGCACACAGTGTCGCGGCCGCTCCGCTCCCCGGAGCCAGGAGTGGACTCCAGGCGAGTCCACGAGAACAGCGGCGGAGGCTTCTCGGGGTTGGGCGTCGCTTACTGGGGGGGGCGATAAATGGGGGGGAAGAAAGGTGCACTTCTCGGCCCCTGAAGGTTCCCGTTTGGGACCTGAAGGGCCCCTTTAGGGGCCTTAAAGGGGCTCTTTTTTCTGCAGCTCTTGCTGCCCCCCTCCTTTATCGCCCCCCCACTTACGCGACGCCCAATCAAGATTGAGTGTCCTGCTTCCCGGCTGCCGGTGAGAACAATTCAGGGAGCCCTGCCATGCCACATGCAAGCTCATCACGACTGCTGAAAGTCTTCTCGCTAGGCGCAACCAGACAAGCACCAGGTCCCAGGTCACCTTGACAGAACGAGGGCAGTTGTGTCTCCCGCCTCATAGGGTGGAACACTCTGGGATAACACTCATCATGCGCCTCGACTAAGACCGGTCGGAAACCAAGCCGCTTATCACGACTTTGGGCAACCGGCTCCGACCCCATCTCCACATGCAATATGGCCAGGTGGGCTCTCGACGGAAATGGGCTAGACAAACAAAAATAGAGGATGAGAGAGAGAGGAAAGGAGAAGGCGAGATACTGCTGAGTTCTTGCACATCCATACATACATACATACAGACAGACAGACAGACAGACAGACAGACAGACAGATATACATACATACATACATACATACAGACATACATACATACATACATACATGCATGCATGCATGCATGCATGCATACATACATACATATAGATACGCTCATGTCTTTCCGAGAAGGTAGAGCTCAGAAGCGATTGCTGCGGCGTCTTCGATTTGCCTGGCCGCTTCGCTCTGGACATTCGAAACATCCTACAGTCTACACGCGCCCACCACGCAGATCGCTCCCGGGGTGCGCTATAACCAGGAGTCCGAGGCGAATCCAGCTGTGGCGACGAGGGCCTCCCAGGAGGCCCAACAACGGGAAAACCAGGCCCAGGCAGCAGTATCAGTAGGTTTCCCTGCCCTGCGAGACGGCGACGACGCCGACGACGACCAGCGGCCCCGCCGCCCGGGGCAGCGAGGGGGGCGAGAGCCCACGCCCGCTTCTCGCGAGGCTGGCGGGGGGCGGGCCCGCAGCAAGGGCAAGGGTAGCGGTATATCGTTACCTTTCCTTCCTCTGATCCTCCCCTTCCTTTGGCAAGCCCCGCTCTCGTGCTCCCCCCCCGTCGGGGGCGCACTGCCCCGGGCTCAGTACACACCCGGGTCGATCGGGCTCTGCCGGATCCTGCAAGATCTGACGCTCTGGCTGACCCGCTTTTCTGGCCCTTCCTGGCCCGCTTTTCTGTGTCGGCCCGTCCCGGTGTCCGAATAAGAGCCGCGGCGCCCCGCACTGCTTGTGAACCCCTGTGTGCCCGCGACCCTGGCACCTGGGAGTTGGTTGTTGCAGACTTGTCCTTGCGCAAGGCTGGCTGACCCTCGTTTGCTTCGGCCCCCGTCTCAGGGCTCCTGGCCCCGTTCCACGCGTGCTCGTCCGGCGCGGCGCCCTCGTCGGACTCGCCGTCTGCCTGCCCGGCGCCCCCCTCTCCCCTGCAGGGTGCCCGTCGCCCTGCCGGCCCCCCCCCCTCTTCCTCTTCGCGCCGTTCGCCTACGAGATCGGCTACGGAATTGATCTGCCCCTGCATCTTGTCTGTCGGAGCTAACACTGCTGCGCCGGATTCACGTAGATCAACCAACGAACACTCCACACATCCAACGTGGGGGGTCTTGTGTTCCCAGCGCACCCCTCGCGCAGGATCTCTCCTGGCCCCTCCTTTCCTCACCATCACCATCACCAACATCATCATCAGCAGTGACACGCGCACCACACCCGATCACTCTCTATATCACTCCCGCACACCATCATCATCCTTCCCGGCTGATTCACAATCAGCAGCATTATCATCGTACTCATCACCAACATCATCGCAAACACCCACAACACCATCATCGTCATCAATACTCACACACTCACCACACACGGTAACACACTCGCTCACTCATTCAATCACGCGCCTAACATCACCATCAGCATCATTACCGCGAGCCTCAGCAACACTCACATCATCATCAAGAACAACATCACGATCATCGTCGTTATCATTATCATCCTCACTCGCTTTTGTGAACGGATCGCGAAAAAGACTCGAACGGGAGCTCCCTCCCTATGGGACCTGCACTTCACGTAACTAATCCGAGACGGCCATCAGGAAACCCGGTGACAGCAAATGTTTGGTGACACATGGGAGCCTGAATCCCGACGAAGACTCGAACGGGAGCATCGTCTGTGACTGACTTGTGAAAACGTCTCCAACGGGAGCCCTTCCCTGTAACGGGTCATCGGGAGCCTGTAACGGGTCATCGGCGTCTTGTAACGGGTCATCGGGAGCCTGTAATTGTCGTCACATTTGGACTCCTCAAGCACGAGTATGGACAAGCCTTGACTGGGAACCTCGTTGGTGAGCGAATTGCAAGGAAATCTGAAACGGGAAACCCGTTTCCATGCGGCCCGCAATTCACGTTACTAGTCCGAACGGGTCATCGGGACCCTGTGACTGTGTCATGTTTGGCCTCTGCAAGCTTGAGTGTGGAGGACAGCTCGGGCGGGAGCCTCGTATGTGAGTGAAATGCGTAGACGCATCAAACGGGAACCCCCTTCCCGATGCGGCCCGCAGCTCACGTTACCAATCAGAACGGACCAGTGGGACCCTGTAACCGTCGTCATTTTTGGCCTCCTCAACCTTGAATATGGAGGGCGTTTCGAGCGAGCGGGGGCCTCGTTTATGAACGACTTGCCATGACAGTCATGCGGAAAAACTCCCCCTCTGGGGCCCGCAACTCACGCTACTAATCTGGGCGGGTTACTGGGACCCCGTACGTAAGTGTCACCACTTCTGGTTTCCCCAAGCTCAATTGAATATGAAGGAAGTCTCGAGCGGGGGCCTCATCGGTGAGTGACTTGCGAGGGTAACTCAATGGCGGTAGAACCCCCCGCCGTTTATGGGGCCTGCAGCTCTTGTTCCGAATCCGAGCGGGCAATCTGGATCCTGTAACTGACGTCGCTTCGGGCATCCCCCAACTTGAGTCCGAAGGAAGTCTCGAGCGGAAACCATATCTGTAAGTGAATTTCGAAGAACTCTCAGGCGGGCCCCCCCTCCCTATGGAACCCGCACCTCGCGTGACTTATCCGAGCGGGTCACTGGGACCTTGTATCGCCGTCAATGTTCAGCTACTGAAATTTCAATAAAGCGGAAGTCTCGAGCGGGAGCATCGTCTGTGAGTGAATTGCGAGGAAGTGCGCGCGGAACGTGCTTATCCTGTGGAAGCCCATGTGGGAGCTGGAACACGGGCCGCCGGATTCCCTGCGGAAGGCGCTCACGGAGGTCAACCAGAAAACGGGAAGCTGCAAGGCTGAGGCGGAGCAGCTCGCTGCACAGCTGGGCTTCGCGCTGCCTCCCGCCTGAACGCGGCCGCGACAGTTCGAGATCTGCGGGGTTGTCCCACCAGCTTGGTCCCGCGCCCCAGCGGCTCGCGGGGTAGTCCCAACGGCCTGGCCCGAGGGGATGTCCCAGCGGCCTCGCGATCTGGCCATCGGAGGACGCGCCCATGCCGGTCGCGACGGCACGCCGAGGAGAATGAACTTGCGCGCCCTTGCTAGAGGGACGGGGGAGAAGGTAGATGAGAGAGAAGAGGCAGCAGGACGAGGAGGCAGAGCAGGGGGCGGGAAGAGGGCCTCCGCCAGGGCGAGAAGAAGAAGAAGAAGAAGGGCGATGATGAGACGGCAAGAGAGCCTCGCACTCAGCAGGACGGCGAAGAGGTCTCCTTCCATATTGCGTCAGGGCATTCTCATGTGGGGCTGGACCGTCAGAGTTATTGTAGCTTGGGCGATAAACAAAATGCGCAAGTCCATCGTGTAGTCGATCTCCTACTCGAGCCATGCCCTTCCTCAAGAGCAGTCCGCATGAAATCGGCAAATCGGGTCGAACTGGTATCTGCGTCGGGTCGCCCTGCATCGGCGCGGAGTCGGAATCGAGCCGAATCGACGGCGGCAGGACGCAGGACAACGCTTGGTGGTGCGCACGGGGGGGTAAGGGGAGGGAGGAAGGCTTCTTAGACGGAGGCTGCTTCTTAGAAGGCGCTGGCCCTACATCTACAGACAGGGCCCGCGCCTTCTGAGAAGCAGCCCCATTCTGAGAAGCGTTCCCCTTCCCCCTACCCCGCTCTTCGGGGGCTGCAAAGAGGGGGGTGTCCAAGAGGGGGGGATGCAAATCATGACCGGCGGCATGTGCGCGGCCCAGCGGGGGGGCCTGGGACGTAATGGAATAAGAAAAGGCGCCATGAGATCTGGGGAAAGATCATGGCCCCCGCCATGATATCCACCCCTCCCTAGTCATCACCCCCCTCTTTTCCGCCCCCGAAATCATCGGGGCGCATCCGTCCGTGGGGAAGCCGGAACTGAAGCGGATCGAGCTGGCCGGAACCGAGATCGGACCGATCGGATCGCAATGGGCCCTGGTCCCCGCCCTTCGCCCCGCGGGAGGAGGCCGACGACGCCTTCGGACATCAATGGCCGTCCGTCCCGCTCGCCATCCTCCTCCTCCTCCTCCTCCTCCTCCTCCTCCTCCTCCTCCTCCTCCTCCTCCTCCTCCTCCCCCATCCTCCTCCTCCTCCTCCTCCTCCTCCTCCTCCTCCTCCTCCTCCTCCTCCTCCTCCTCCTCCAGGTCCCGCCCCCGTGTCGGGCCTCTCCGAAGTCCACCGTGGACTTGTTGCCTGCGTTCATCAGAAGCTTCTGCACATCCACATCGCCGCTGCATTCCCGGCGCCTCCGTCCACCCTTGCTGGCGACGACGAACACGACGACGACGACGTCGACGACGACGACCTCCGAGGCGAAGACGACCTCCAAGACGATATCGACGACGGCGACGTCGACAAGGACGAACACGACGACGACGAAGACCTCCAAGCTCCGAGGCGACCTCGACGTCGACGCGTGGGCGACGGCAACGCCGCCCACGACCGAGACAACGACCTCCGACGCCGAGAGCAGCGACCTCGCTGCCGTCGGCGACGCCGACGAGACGGCGCCGAGGCGGTGGCGACGAATGGCCTCTCCCAGGAGGCCCCGCAAGCGGGACAACGAGGCCCGGGCAGCGGCCTCGGTACCTCTCCCCTGACCTTCCAGGAGGGCTAACAAGTAGCACCCGACTGAAAAACCTATCCCAAAGCTATTATACGTCTTGGTTTTAGGCTGTTTCGCCCAGCTTTTTAGGTTTTTAGGTCTCCAGTGCTAAAAAATAGCTCTCTGGAAGGTCAGGGTACCTCTCCCCTCCCCCTGCGAGACGGCGACGACGCCGCCGACGACGCCGCCGACGACCCGCGGCCCCGCCGCCCGGGGCGGCGAGGGAGGAGGAGGAGGAGGAGGAGGAGGAGGAGGAGGAGGAGGAGGTGAGGAGGAGGAGGAGGAGGAGGAGGAGGAGGAGGAGGAGGGGAGGAGGAGGAGGAGGGAGGAGGAGGGAGGAGGAGGAGGAGGAGGAGGGGGAGGAGGAGGAGGAGGAGGGAGGAGGAGGAGGAGGAGGAGGAGGAGGAGGAGGAGGAGGAGGGAGGTGAGGAGGAGGGAGAGAGGAGGAGGAGGAGGGAGGAGGAGGAGGAGGAGGAGGAGGGCGAGGATGCCCACGCGCCCCTCTCCCGCGAGGCCGGCGGGGGGCGGGCGGCCGCGGCAGGGGCACGGCCCCCCGGGGAGCGGCAAGGCGCCGCCCGGAGCCTCGCCCGCCCTGCCCTTAAGGGGGAGCCCCAGCCGCACAGCCGACGCATATGGGCAGGCTCGCGCGGCGACCGGCAGGGGGAGCTGCCGACCCCTCAGATCCCAGGCTTCGGGAGGTCTTCGACCGCACCAGGACACGCGGGGCCCCGTCCAGGGGCATATAGGCGCGGGGGCGTCCATGCTCCACAGGGGGTGCGTCCGAAGAGCCCCCCTTGGAGCATATTCTGGGGTTCCCCCCTGTCTCTGAACGGCCAAAAAAACTTGTCGGGCGGAACTCGGGGGTTGATGGAGAGTAGTGGCCTGAGCAGGTTCGTGCGGCGACGACCTTGGCGTGGGCTTCTGCCACCGCGCGGATGGTTCAACATTGAACGATCGCGGCTTCCCGCTAGCGCAGATCGTTCGTCGGCTGCACGCAAGAGTGACCCTGGGTAAGAGTGACCCTTGGTGCGCGGCTTTTGGGGGGCCGCGGGGTGGCCAAACACAGGCGCGCGAGACGCTACCAGCGCATCGCGTTCGGCTATCGGGGGACCCCAACGTGCCCGCACCAAAGGTCACTCCGGCGAAGGGTCACTCTCACGTCTAGTCGAGTTCGATACCAGCCGGTTCTGCACCACCGGCGGCGTCCAACCTCGAACGCCCGTGCTAGAGCCACCGCCGCGCCGACACGGCACGAACCTGCCGTGTACGAGGAGGGATCCTCTCCCTCGGCGCCCTCAGATGGGCCCACTTTCCACTCTTCCACAACCGCTACGATAGGCAGGAGAGGGAGGAGGAGGAGGAGGAGGAGGAGGAGGAGGAGGAGGAGGAGAAGGAGGAGGAGGAGGAGAAGGAGGAGGAGGACCTCCCCATCCTCCCTTGGAGGAGGAGGAGGAGGAGGAGGAGGAGGAGGAGGAGGAGGAGGAGGAGGAGGAAGAGGAGGAGAAGGAGGAGGAGCAGGAGGAGCAGGAGGAGGAAGAGGAGGACCTACCTGTGGTAATGGTGGTGGCAAACTTGCCCGTCAACCTCTGTGGGCCCGCCATCGGAACATGAGAAACTTCCCTTTGGGGGCACCTGCTGGCGGGCCGATGCGGCAGGTTCGCGTCGTGTCGATCCTGGCGTTGGTTCCTGACACCGCGGTGATCGTTCAAACTTGAACGATCGGCCCTTGCAAAAAGGCCGGATCGTTCAAGGATGGGCCGATTCTGGGCCACAGGCGGCGTAAAACCTTACACGCCCGCGCTGGGGTCGCCGCCGGTCTGCACTGCACGACGCGAACCTGCCGTACCTTATTCGATGCGCCTGACGTGCGCCTGCACGGATCCTGCCCAGGCCCATCCTGGGATCGGTGAGGTGCGTAGTCCGACTTTTGTTCGATGAGCACCCCTCCCGCGCCACTGCGCCCGCCGGCCCGTTCCCCCCCCCCGCCACGCACAGGGCACTCACCCCCGAACGCGATCCATCCACTGACGCCCCGCGAAAGACAGCCCATTCGTACCCACCCACGCGATCCCCCCCCCCCAGAACCCTAGAGCTCTAAAATCCCAGAGCTCTAGAACCCTAGAACCCAACACTCCTAGAATCATAGAACCCTGAACGCTAGACCCTAGAACTCTTGGGTCTCAGAACCCTAGAACTCTAGAGCCCTATAGAACCCCAGAACCCCTGAACCCCAGAACCCTAGATTCCTCGGACCCCCCCCCGGTTGTTTCGGCGGCGCGCCCGGGGGGCGGTGACGAGGGGGGCGGGCCCTCTCAGAAGGATCGGACGTCCCCCCGGCCCTTCCGAGAGGTGTCCAAACGAGCCCTCCCCGAAGACCGCCGGCTTCCGAGGCAGGCCTGCTCATTCTCACCTCCCTCCCCCCCCTCGCTCGCCGCCGACTCCTGCACCACTCGGGGCAGTTGGGCGAGCAACGACACATGTACATGCACGCCCTCCGCGGTCTTGCCCGCACGAACGTCCGCGCCGACACGCACTCCAGGGGAAACTAACCGCGTACGTGTACATCTGTTGCTGGCCTCGGAGCAGTGCCTCTGTCGCCCGACCGGTGGACCTCCGCCGCGCCTGCCGCGCCGCCGGCCGCGCGGAACGACAGCGAGAGAGGCGGCGCCGTCGGCGGGCCGCCGCCGCGCCTGCGCCCCGCCCGCGCCCCGCCTGCAAATGGCCAGCGCTCGGGCGTCCACTCCCCGTGTTTTTTTTTCGGCTTCGTGCGTGGCCTCTCGGGTGGGGCTCGAGCGACGGAGGGGCGCGCCCGAGGCGAGCCGAAGCACCTGAAGCAGGGGCGTCTGGGAGCCGGCTGCGGCGCGAGGGGAAGGGGCCGCGCTCAGAGCATGCGGTCCTCGTGCGCGAGGGTCGGAAGTGTGCACGGCGGAGTGGAAGCCCGACGTCCAAGGCACACGTGAGCTGGACGTCGGGCTCATCGCGCGCGCTGCTCTTCCCGCGGATGGAGAAACTCGTAGGACCCTGTCTCAGCAGTCCGAGTATGGGGGCGGGGAAGGCTCAGGTCCTTCACCTTGAGGCGCCCTCAATTTGCGTTTGCGTGCAGAGCAAACGGATTCGCCAACGGCCTGTGTCAGCGGCTGTAAACTTCAACCGGACCTGTCCTGGGAAGCTTTCGTGACCAAAGCTTCAACGAGTCCAGCTGTGGCGATGAACACTCCCTCAGAAGCCATCGCAAGAAGCGAGGGGTCCTCTTGGGAGGACGCCCCACTGGCACTCCCCCCATTTGCGCGCCGTCAGAAGAGCCAAGTGCCATTTCAAACAGCTCGGCCCTCTCACACTGAGAGAAATTCGCTACGGGCGCGATTTCATCCGACTCCTGACACACCACGGGACAGGACCCGTCACGACACATGTCAGATCCCGCGACGATGAAGCCGTCTCTGATTATATCCTGGGGTTCGGAACGATTGTTTGCCACGGGAAGGAATCTGACACGACTCCCGCATGTTGCGTGTACCCTCCCCAGGCCTGAGAGATTCAAGCAAGGTCACGCCATGAGAGTGAATCATCCAAACACAGATTCGCGCAGGGCTCGCCAGAGAAGCACTAGTCGGCAGTTGGGCCACTCGCTTGAGCGACAATGTGATAAGACACGGGCGGTCACTTGTAACCAAACGCATGCGACTGCCAGAATAAACGAGTCAGATGCGCCATCATGATGCACTGTTACCAAAAAGGATATATACATATATGTGCACGGACACTCATACACTGGACTCAGCGCACAGGCGCGATATGCACACAACAACTTCACCTGCAGAATATACTCGTCTGGCAATTTCTCAGTAATCCTGCTGTCAGGTATGAGAAAGGCCTGGGCATGCTGCGTCGACTGTATAGCTTGGGCACGCTGAGAACTACCAGCTCGCGCACGCGCATCTATCAATAGTACGTGCAACCAACAATCGTATGCTAGGCCGAACGGATGCGCACGGAAGCATAGCCGGTTCCAAATACCCATGGGGTTTCTAACACGGCCTGGCACGCTGTTGCAGATCAACCGGGCGTCACCACTCATGCACGTTCCAATTCGACCCTGCACCTCGTGCTGAGAGACATAACAGCTAGAGTGAGCAAGCTCTGACGAACACTCTGGACAACAGTGCGGCTTACACATATGACAGTGCTTCCGAAGCTTCAGAGGCATGGCCGATTGAATGGGCAATCATGTGCATGGGTGCAACTTTGGATGGGAACGCTTTCAGATTGCATCGTCTAGAGGCTAGGTTCGCAACAAAATCCGCCGACCCTGTCGGCGTGTGCGAGACGCTGTTTCGTTTGACTCGTCGTCGTCGTCGTCGTCGTCGTCGTCGTCGCCGTCGCCACTACCCCCCCCCCCCCTTGGGCCTCCTCCTCAAGCGCGCCAGCTAAAGCTAAAATGAACAACGCTGCCGTTGAGTCGAAGGGAAGCCCCTTCCCTTTGAACCCTTCTCCGCACCGGGGGGGACCCGGAGGTGTCCGAGGGGGGGGGGGGGGGTCCCGGAAGCGGGGTCCTCCCCGGGGGGGGGGGGCGAGGGGGTTGCGTGTCAGAAGGCTATCCCCCCAGGTGGGTCCCGGGGGGTGGTCTTTCTTCTGTGGGCCAAAGGAAAAACTCAAGGCCCCCCCCTCCCGCTCCACCCGTCCTCCGATTCTCCCTGCGGACACGGGGGAACAAGGAGTGGTTCCCCAATGTGGGCAGGGAAACCAACATGCCCCCCCCTCTCCAGTTCCCCCTGTGGACAGTGGGGAACTGGGGAAACTCAAGCCCCCCCCCGTCCCCCCCCTCCACCCTCCTGTCCCCTCTGTGGACAAGGGGGACAGGGGGTGGTCCCCCCTGTGGACAAGGGCAACTCGATACACCCACTACACTCCCCTTTGTGGACAAGGGGACATCAAAAACGAGGGTCGATGGTCAAACCGTTTTGGATAGCGGGCGCTTTGCTCTGTTTACCAAGCAATCCCGTGACTTTCCTGCCCAGTGTTTCTCGAATGCTGGCCCATGGGGGCACTGCGAAGGAAAATGACCCCATCCTGCAAGCCTCTCTCTACTCTTAGGTTCCGCCCCGTCCTCTCGCTCCTGTTCTCTCCGCTCTCTCACCTTCCCCCTCCCCCCTCAACCCTCGTTCCCCTCCTCTCCCTTCTCCCCCACCTGCCTCGAACCGACTCAACTTAGCTAACGTAGATAGCAAGCTTAGCTAACCTACTTTTCCAACTCCACGAAACTACTTACATAACTTAACATGACCTCCTTAACTGGGGTAGTTAAGCAGGCTACATGTGCCTGCCCCGGCCTGCTTACCTAAGATCTCCCCGAAGTCCAGGATCCAAGGTAGAACTGCGCGAGGTACTTAGTGACCAACCTTACCCTCCCAGCACCACCACCCTCCCCCCTCCTCCCGGACCCCGCCCCCTCCCCGGAAGCACCATCCTCACTCGTATCTGCTGCTGCGGGGTGCTGCGTATTTTGCGGCATGCCTTGCAAGGGCCTCTGACCCGATCCGAGGCGGCTCCAAGTGACCACGAAGCTTCCCAAGAAGTCCCCCCAGAGGCCCCCCGGCAGAGCCCAAGAGGCTCCCAAAAGAGCCCCAAGAGGGGCTGCAGAGCGTCAGCGCCGTCGTCGTCCCCCTTCAGGGTCGGCGGCACCAGCCGTAAGGCCTTCGGAATACATGGCTATTTATATGTTTTGAGCCAAGTGCACCCTGAAGCTCAAGAGACCTTCGAAGAGCACGCTGGTTTCATCACCGCTTTTCCCCGCTAGTATTCGGAAGCCAAGCTGAATATCAAATCCAACCCATTCCGTCGAAATACTATCCTGTCTGCCAGGCCAGGAATATGCACCACACGCTTCTGCTTTGCAGCAGCAGGCAACATAATTATCACCGGGGCTTGAAACAAGTGCAGAACATACACACCACACAGGCAACTGGACGTTGCACAGGAGAGCTGTGCCCACGCTCGAAAATGCTAATGTGCACGGTGTTCGCCGCTGGGGCTGGAAAACAACGGCTTGCGTCTGACAAGGCAGGGTCTTTACCTTGTCGGGGGCGAAGCCTTACAAACAACAGTACCTCAGCGCTATCGTCCAGGCTGAGCCTGAGAAGCAGCACGAGGCCGTTCTGAAATGTGTACAACTCGCACGGCGAGCGGATCGCTAAGTTATGTTGCGCATCGCGATCGCCCTCGACGGCTCACGAGATGCTCCAACACCGCCTCCTCCTCCTCCTCGCTGCTTGCACGCTGGCGCCATGAGGTCCGCACTGCCGCCAAATCGTACTTCGACCCCACGACGGGACAACAACTAGCCCCATCAGACTCCTTCTCGTGCTCACCGCTCACTCCCATCCTTTCCACTCCCTCCCCGCCTACCAAGCGTCCCCTTTGCCTCCCCATTCCACTTCGTTCCTTCCACCTTGCCACTTTTACCTCCTGCCTCTCCGAAACATGCTGCTGGCTGATTTAAGCTGCGACCAGGAAAAGTGATGAGATTTTGCTGGCTGTTTTAGTCTCGGGCGGGGGGGGGGGGGGGGCGGGATATTTTGCTAGCAGTTCTGGGCCCCGGGGGTCTGGATACTTGGATGGCAGTTTTTGACCAGGGGGCTAAGGATTGCTGCTGGCAGCTCTAGGCGCTGAGTTCGGGTTATGTGTGCGGCCGTCTTAGGCTGGTGTGTCAGCATGTTGTTGAAATATTATACCAGGGCGTCAATGGGGGAGTTGTACGCCAGGTGGGTGAACAAATAACGAGGGCAGATTTAAGACAGGCAGTGAGGATACATGCCAGCAGTCCTAGGCCAAGGGCGATGGCACTGTACTGGCAGCTTTCGACCACGAGTGATGAGGGCAGCTTGCCAAATAGCAATTCTAAGGCAAGGCGGTGATGATTTCTGGGTGGCAGCTGTAGGCCAGGTATGATATGTCGAGGATCCTGTTGGGTCGAGGCTTGGGCCCTCGCCGATTTGGCCCAACCGATGCATCAAGCGAAAGCCTGTGCCCCTATTTCTGGTCGCTCCGTGGCGCCGGGCCGGCTGCGGACTAAAGGGCTAGTGTTTCAGATGGCCTGGTCCGCTCTGGAGCTTCTCGGGGCTCGAAGAGGCCTCTTGGAGGTTCTAAGCGGAGGGGACTAGAGGAGGAGAACAAGGGAGGAGAAACACAGAGGAACGGAGGGAGGAGGGAGGAAGGGGGGAGGGGGAGGGAGGAGGCGGGGGAAGGAGGAACAAGTGAAGGAGGAGGGAGGAGGAGTTAGAAAAGAGGACGGAGGAGGAGGAGGAAGGAGAGGAGGAGGAGGAGGAGGAGGGATAGGACGGTGTGAATACAAGAGGGAGGTGTGATGAGTGTGGCGAGGCCAGTGCCAGCGGGATTCCCCGAAAAGGAAAAAATAAGCGAATCGTTGCGGTCACTCCACCTTGCCTGAAGATACGTACCTGGCACATCCTGAGCGTGGTGGCGCTGCCTGGAGGCTGCGGGGCCAGCCTACGCAACAACCTTGCGAGGGAGTCTGCTTTCTGTCCGCTCGGGCCTGGAGCTGAGTTCGACAAAGTTCGACATCCTGCCATCCCCTCATCCTCCTCCTCCTCCTCCTCCTCCTTTTCCTGCTCCTCCTCCTCCTCCTCCTCCTCTTCCCTCCTCCTCCTCCTCCTCCTCCTCCTCCTCCTCCCCTCCTCCTCCTCCTCCTCCTCCTCCCCCTCCTCCTCCTCCTCCTCCTCCACCTCCTCCTCCTCCTCCTCCTCCTCCTCCTCCTCCTCCTCCTCCTCCTCCTCCCCTTCCTTCTCCTCCCTCCTCCTCCTCCTCCTCCCCCTCCTCCTCCTCCTCCTCCCTCCCCTCCTCCTCCTCCTCCTCCTCCTCCTCCTCCCTCCTCCTCCCTCCTCCTCCTCCTCCTCCTCCTCCTCCTCCTCCTCCTCCTCCTCCTCCTCCTCCTCCTCCTCCTCCTCCTCCTCCTCCCTCCTCCTCCTCCTCCTCCTCCTCCTCCCCTTCCTCCTCCTCCTCCTTCTCCTCCTCCTCCTCATATTGCTGGCAGTGTGCGCGTTTTGCGGGTGCGTCGCGGAGGGCGACCACATGGCGAACCTGCACCTTCACTGCCCGCCTGCCTTCGCAAATTCGCGCACCGCGGATCCAGAATTACCAGCACCCGACCCCAGCTCAAGGCAACGCCACGCTGCTTATTCAGCTAGCACCGTTTCGCAGCTTCCTCGACAACAACCTCCAAGAGGCCTTTTCGAGTCCTGCCTGACCTGCTCGAGCTTCTCCTCGGCGTATGCTGGGCCACCACCAATTTCAAGGGCTGCAGCTCGTATTCTGGCATAGAGCCTCGAACCCAACAACGCATGCACCGCGAATCTGGAGCCTTCCCTCCCGTCCCTCATCCGCCACCCTCCCCAACTCCGTCTCCTCTGCCTCCCTTCTCCTCATCCCCGCCCCGTCATTCGCCCTTCGACCATAAGAAACTCATACTTATCCTCTCCCCATCTGCACTCTCCTCGTCCCATTCCTCTTCCTCTTCGAAGCGTCGCAGCTCACCCTGCTCCCCTAGCGTTCCCGGGCGCCTGCTCAGAGTGCGCTCGGCCTGGCACTGGCATGTGCAATACTTTCGACGAGCTCTCGGGAGTTCTGCCGCGCTCTGAAAATTCCAAACACCCGAGGCCAACGAACTTCACGCCCCCACGCTGCCCCCACTGGAGAAGCACGGCTCCACAGCTCCGACCGCGAAGCCCGACGCGTGTTATCCTCGCGCCGCTGCGAGCACGGAATGTCCTCCAGAGGTGCCGCAGCACATGCCAGCGGGAGGCACGGATCTCCTTGCAGACTCCCGGGGCGCGGAGGATTTGTGTGTGCTGAGGAGGTTCGGAGGATCGCTTGGGAGGCTTCAGGCGGATGCCCAGCGAAGGCGTCGAGAGGCGAATCGTAGGATTCGGGCCTGCCCAGGGACAGATCAAGCCTCCTTGGGAAACTCCTCGGCTCGCACGTAGACCGCTACTTTGTTACCCACGACTGCGAGAAGTCGGTTTCCCCCAGACCCGCATGAAGCGTTACAGACGGGCCGCGACACACAAGATAACATACGAAGGCGGCAGCTGCTTGCTAGCCCAGCTTTGGGAGCTAGCGAGCCTGCCCTACCTGAAACTGCCATGCGACGCGCGCCTATGTGACGAGCGCGCGGGTCAGACCTACAATTAAGTCGGGCATGTCCTCCTACAGGTGGGTTTTGGACGAAACGTGAAAACATACCCCAAACAAACTATTCGATACATATATAATGGTAGAACATCATCCCCATACTATTTCTTGTTTATTTCCGCATCTTGCTCAAGTATAGGGACGTGCCCGACTTGAACCTAGAACGACGCCCCGACTCAGGATAAAGCCAGCAACTCGCCGCCAAGGTAGCCGGCGAGGCGGCACGGATTGTACATCGATGGGTAACTTGCCACATATTGATGGGCCGATTTTCCACCACCACCACCATAAGTTGGAGGGGGCAAGGAGGAGGAGGAGGATGAGGAGGATGAGGATGAGAATGAGGAGGAGGTGGAGGAGGAGGAGGAGGAGGATGAGGACCCCCCCCCTACGTATTGTGGTGGCGGTGGAAAACAAGCCCACCAACATATTGACATCTTGACATAACCGCCACCGTGCCCCAAGGCACGCCGTGGAGTGTCCTCGTGCCCCTTCAAGTTCTCTGTATGGAATCATTGGCCTGTTTTCCACCATCGCCACCATAAGTTGGAGGGGGGAAGGAGATGGAGGATGTGGAGGAAGAAGAGGAGGATGACCCCCTCCCCCTCCAACTTATGGTGGTGGCAGATGAAAACAAGCCCGGAACAATCCAAACACACCAACTTTCCTTTCCGGAACTCCCGGGAGCTTTCTCGGCGCTCCCGGGTCTCGTCTCACAGCTCTTCCCGAGGCCTCGGGAACGTGCCTTGGAATCCAGACTTCCACTATGCCCTAAGACAGCCCCGACGCGGAGCCGCCCCCGAGCTCTCGCGGAAGACCCTTGGGCCGTCTTGGAGGCTCTGGGGTCTGGCCTCAGAGGCTCCAATCACCGAGTGCTCTCAAACTTCTGCATGACCTCACCAAACTCGACTTTCCGGTGTTGTGAGCGTCCAGTCCTCCTCCCCCTCCTCCGGAGGGGCCGCAAGAGGGACCCAAGAGAGACAACCCGAAAGGCCTTCCGGGCCCTCCATCCCAAGATGGCCCACAAGACCGCCTCCAGGTTCCCAAGAGGCGCCCCAGGGGCTCCCAAGATGTGCACGGGAGGCCCCCAAAGAAAGGGCCCCCCCAAGAGGCGCCCCAGGGGCTCCCTAGAAGCCTCAAGTACCGCAGCACGGCGGCGGCATGGGCCAAAAGCCACTAAGTAGATGAAAACGGCAGCTGCTTGCTAGCCCAGCTTTGGGAGCTAGCAAGCCCTTGGTCTACCTAAAGCTGCCATGCGAAGCGCGACTCTGTGAAGAGCGCGCGAGTCAAGCCTAAATCGACGCCCTAGCATGAATACAAGATGCTCGCCACCAGCTAGCCAGTGATGATGCGCGGGTTGCGTACCGATGAGAATTTGCAACATCCTGGCGAGAACGTAGTTGTGTCAATGCGCCTGGCTCGCGCAATATACTCTCACCATGTCCCTGCAACCGCCAGTGATTGTTGCCATGTGTCCCTGACATGCATTCTCTACTTGCGAGCACGTCCCCCCGTCCAACCCATCAGCCCAGGGCATGAGAGTATGCTGGCAGACGATGGGCAGCTCATCCCAGCAATGTATGGGCAGCGCAGGGCAGCTGAGGCAGATCGGTCTGGGAATCGGTTTCAGCACGTAGTGGCATAGAGGCATACATTTAGCTCCTGCTTGCACTCCCACAACCGAAGACACCGACATCGTGTCATGGAGTTCAACAATTTCACGCGTCTGACCTTTCCCAGGCTTGACTGCCGCATGCATCCCGCTGTCACCCCACTAGAACAGGGCGGCAAATGAGAGCGGAGATCTTCGGAAGGGAGCCATGGGGGAAGTGAAAGAGACGAGCACGCAAGGGGAGGTAACCGTTCGATAGCATCTAGAGAAGGGCCCACCAACTGCATGTGCACCGTGCGCCGAGCGTGTTCTGGCCGCCCTGGGGCAAGGACACCCCTTACCGGGGCCCGCAGCACGGAGCTCGCCTGAGGACCTCGCACACTCCTCGGACATTTTTTGGACACGGCCTCCATCGTCGTCGTCGTCGTCGTCGTCGTCGTCGTCGTCGTCGTCGTCGTCGTCGTCGTCGTCGTCGTCGTCGTCGTCGTCGTCGCACGCTCCGCAAAGACCAGATGAGAGGAGCCACGCTCGGCACCTCGAGAAGCACGCATGGATGCTCTGGCCGGATCCACGCTCTCCTGCAAGGCTGTGCCTGGCAGGAGGGTCCCAAGGGGGAGTGGAGCTAACCCGGTCGCGGGGGCAACGCTCAGCCTGCGCAAAGGCAGTGAGCGCTGGTCGCGGAAGGTGGCGGAGGCGGGGGCCGCGCGAACCTCTTCAAAAGGTGGCGGAAGCAGAGCTACACAAACTAGAGCAGTACGACGAGCGGCGCCGCAAAGCTGCGAACCTCTTAGCGGAGGACAGCACGCATGGCCAGCGTGATGTTGGGCGCTTTCGTCTCGCTGCGAGCACGCAGGCGGCGAGGACGACGCCACGGGCGCGGCGCGGCAGCCGAGAAGCTCTGTGCCCGCTGCGGAGAGGGCGAGACACCATGCTTCGAGCACAGGCGGCCTGCAGTCGACCTCAGGATGCGCTGCAGCGGCGCCTCCTTTGGCCGACCAGCCTGAAGCGCAGGAAGGAGGTGGCTGCCAGTCTGTTCTGGAGGGCCGTCTCCATCACGCAGGCGATCCTCGAGCAACGCTGCAGGAGGAGGCCACCCCATAGGCAGCGCGCCGACGGACAAGTGAGTGTGGGAACAGGAGGCCCAGGAGGTGCAGGCACGGAGGGAGACCAGGAAGCTATGACGCGAGAGGAGGCACAAGCAGAGGGCACGGCGCGCGCGAGAGAGAGAGAGAGAGAGAGATAGACAATTGCGCAGAAGGGAGGAGGAAAGAGGGATCCGTAGGCAGAGTGTGGCGGCACATCTCTGACACATGAGCAGACATGAAGCTGCAGCGCACACTCTCCGAAAACTCGTGCGGCGCCGTCGCCGCCGCCCTCCGCGAGGGCACGGCGTGCCCCTCCGCACCTCTGCCGAGCTGCTGCGCCCCACCCTTTCGGACCTTTTTGTTCCGCCGGAGCACGCCGTCGCCATCTCTTCCGGCGCCGGCGCCGCCGCCGCCGTCAGCCGAGGGCACGATGTGCCGAGGCGAAAAGGCACATCCGCATCCGCGGCCTCGCGGGTCGGGCAGCTGGGCCGCGAGGCCGCGCGGAGACGGGGCGCTCTCTCGCGGAGGACCCGCGCGGATCGTAGCCGTTCCCCACCAGCGTGGGCTGCGCCCCACTGGCCGATCCATCCCCCTGATGTGGATATTGGCTGCTCTCTTCGGGCTTCGAGAGGCATAGCCTATACGACCACACCGCGAGCCGCCGCCGGACGGGCGGGCGGGGGAGAATCATTTGTCTTGACAACGCCCTAGCAACGGCGGGTTCATTCCTCTCGCGCGCCCACGCAGCTTCGCCTCGCCCGCACGCACGACACGAACGCAACGAAACGATCTCCTGGCTAGGGGGGTCTCCGCTCCGCTGCGATCTCACCCCCCCACCTCCGCTCCCCAATCGAGGTGGTGAGACGGTGGGGCTCGAGATGTGGACGGGTATGGGGACCGGTCACGCGTTCCGAACACATGCGACCAGCTAAACGCACTTGCCACGCAAACCGCCAGCTCCAAAGACCGACGCCACACCGATCCCCGCCTCCGTGCCAGGCACCCTCTCAACGACGCCCCCTTCCGGCGCACAGCCAATAAAACCCTTTGTGCTTATGAGTTTTTTCCTCCTCTGAGACAGGGCTCGGCTACACGATACGGAGCGAGGGCGCAGCTGTGGACGTGTCCGCCGCTCCCGAGCCCCTGCCGCTGCTGCTGCGCTGCAGCGCCGCCGCCGACGCCCGGGACCAGGCCGTGCCGCGCCCGGGGCGCCGTCGCGACGCCCGGCCCGGCGGCGGCAGCCCGGAGCCGCTCGGCCTCGCGCTGGGCCCACGGGCACGCCTCCCAGAAGCCGCACTGCCGGGACGCGCCCGCGGGGCTGCAGGCAAGGTAGTAGCGTCCTCGCGCCGCGGAGAGCGCAGCGAGCCGGCGGAAGGGGGCCCTGACCTTCCAGGAGGGCTAAAAAATAGCACCCGACTTCAAAACCTATCCCAAAGCTATTCTACGTCTTGGTTTTAGGCTGTTTCCCGTAGCTTTTTAGGTTTTTAGGTCTCCAGTGCTAAAAAATAGCTCTCTGGAAGGTCGGGGGGGGGCACGGGACGCAGCTAAGGACACAGCAGTACCGTGTGCTGGCTGCTGCTGGAGGCGAGCGTCCGACACGAACATGCGACACACGAGTTTTCTGCTAACCAGCGCGGCTTCCAAAGGCACCAGAGCGCCCAAGATGGCCCAAGATGGCTCCAAGAGGGCCTCAGAGAGCCCAAGATGGGCTTCAAGATGGCTCAATATAGCCTCCCACATACATCGAAGATGCCTCATGACGGTCCCAAGATGGTTTCATATGCCCTCCCAGCACTCCCAGGAACCTCCCAAGAGGACAAAATAGCTCCAAAACCTTCGGATAATCAATGCCTTTTCGCTTCTGATGGGCTCCCGAGGCCTCAAGATGGCCCCAAGACAGCCCAATAGAGCTCCAAGAGCGCCCCAAGAAGACCCTCATACACTTTGAGAAAGGAACATCTACGCGGTGCAATCTACGCGAGGCGGCGACGGGCTGCGACGAGACCGCGATGAGGCGACCACGGGGCGGCGACGGCGACGACATAGTCGCTAGATCGCCAGACAGGCCCAGGCGACGGGCGGCGACGGGCGGCGACGGGGCGGCGGCGGAGGCTACAGGCTAGATAGCCGCCGGACCAACAGCCAGGCCCAAACGACCAGGGGCGACGAGGCAGCGACAAGGCAGCGACCGTGGCTATATAGTCGACGGGACAACCGCCAAGCCTAGTTCCTTAGGCCATAGCGAAAACCCCCCAAGGGCAAGCACTGTTTAGGGAATCGTCCACCGTTTTCCGACGGGCCTGGCCAGGCAGCAGCTGCCACAGAGCTTATACTGTAGGACTTCTCAGCGTGCGAGTCGCCCTTGCGGCGCGCACGCAGCACAAGCACTATTGGGTGGTGCCGATGGGAGGCCGCCGCAGGGCTGCTCCGCACGGGCTGGGGGGTCCAGAAGATGCTTCCCAGAAGGCCCTGAGCTCCTCGACCAGTAGGAGTCACCTCAGCGTTGCACCCTTCCCCCCCCTCTAGCATTAGATCGGGCCTGTTGCCCTACGGTGGGATTTTGGACGACAAATAAGAAATAGTCAGAAAATACTGAACACATGCCACCAAACACTCAAAACATCGTCCCCAGACTATGTTTTGACTATTGTTGAATACCCCCCCTGTAATGGACACGCCCGACTTAACTCTAGCAGAGCACCCTGGGGTGGAAGCGACCCAGAACCAGGTCCAGAGGACGCATGCCCGCAAGCATTGCGGGCGCAACGCCCCCTCGATGACCGAAAGAGGCAATTCGCTGATCAGCCTGGACAAGTGACAGTTCTGGCAACTTCTGACCCTACGAGGCCTCACTCCTCGAACCACCCTCTTTCGGAGCAGGGCGAATTGACACAACGACATCTCAAGATCGGTACCCAGACCCCTCGGGTACAAACGCACCAGCATTCAGAGCTGCGTTCAGCCTTTGCGGCGAGGGGGCGCTCCGAAGGCCAACTAACGCTGTCTCATCTCGCCCTCCTCTGACCCTTTCTGCGGACCGCTGGATCCTCTCTTGCTCTTCAGCACGCTCGGCCGCCCGCACCGGCACAGCTTCTGGTGCGCGAGGAGCTCCGGGCGCGCCATGCGGAAGGTGAGGGACAAGCGCACCAGGCCCGCGGCCGCGTGCCTGCCGACGGTGGAGTCCGCCTGGCGGGGCACGGTGTGCTCCCACTCCTCCTGCGCGGAGGCAGCTGCACATCTGCAATTTCCCACTCTCGTCTTCTCCCCGAAACCCGAATATTGCCAGAACGTCCTTAAACACAACACCCTTTAGTGAAATCTTCCAGGGGCAGTCCTCGTGCGTGCGGCACCGCGTTCCAAGTGGACCTGGCCGGGATAACTGATCGAAGTTCGAAATCAAGCGAATACGCGCGACAAAACAAACACCGAGTAGCGTAATCCGATGTTCCTGGCAAAAAAACCTCAGGGGATAATAAAGCTCTGGGTTCCAGGTGGATATTGAATTTTCATCCCCAAACCTCGCATGTACGGATGTACGGTGTACGGGTGTACGGTGTACGGAGCGTAATGCTAGAAGGAGTGACCCAGCTTTGGTTGCAGCCCGGTCCCCCCAACGGCCCCTAGGGTTCTGATGAGATTCTGGTGCTTTCAACGGTCCCACCAAAACATTGTGATGGTGTGTGCGGTGGTGTGTGTTTGGGTGTGTGTGGTGGTGGTGTGCGTGTGGTGGTGTGTTGTTGATGGTGTTGTTGGTGTTGTTGGTGTTCCTGGTGTTGTTGTTGGTGTTGGTGTTGGTGTTCGTGTTGTTGTTGGTGTTGTTGGTGTTGTTGGTATTGTTGGTGGTGTGTTGGTTGTTGTGGTTGGTGGTTGTTGCTCTTGCTGTTCATCGTGTTGCTAGTTATTGTTGCTCGTGATGTTATTGCTGGTGTTGGTGGTTGTTGTTGTTGCTGTTACTGGTTATTGGTGCTGTTGGTGGAATTGTTGAAATTTTGGTTTTTGTTGTTGTTGTTGTTGTTATTGTTGTTGTTGTTGTTGTTGTTGTTGTTGTTGTTGTTGTTATTGTTGTTGTTGAATATTATTACTTCTAAAGAAATATTATTGTTGAGACCCCTGGTGCGCGACCCCCCTTCAAAACCTAGGCCGCAGCCTCATTTCCTTCATTTTCTAGCGAAAGCTTCAGAAAAGTGGATTGTCACCGGATCCGGTTGTTTTGTTGTAATCCGTTTTCCCTTGCAAAAAACACTATAAAATGAAAATTCTTGTTCTTACTTGATCAAATTGCAAGAATCCCTTGCAAAAAATAAGGTAAAGTGGACATTCGTGCGCGCAAGACGAAATCCTTCCAAAACCTTAGGTTTCGTAGCGATTTTAACATAAAAACATCAAAAACCCAATGGTTTTTTAAGAAAAAATTGTCAAAATGTCCTTCCGCGCGCTCTTGCGGATTCGTAGGAAAACCAACACTTTTTAAACAATTCTGTCAAACGGGCTTTTGCGAGCAACTTTTTCGAACTTCTGCGACAACGGTTGCGCACCTGCCAGGGCCATCATCCCTGTCAAATAATACCATGCGGGACACATTCGTTTTTTCTTCGCGCGCGCACGCCGAAATCTCCAAAAACCAGATGTGATCAACTATCTTGTGAGTACGTATCGTGTGTATCATGTGTATCATGTACCATATGCATCATATGCAACAGATGTTCTGTGGAAGGCTTAACAACTTCTGTGGGTTAACAAGGCTTAACAACTTCTGTGGGTGTACGAACGTAGGCTTAACAACTTCTGTGGGTGTGTACTCCACGCCAGTGTAGTAGCCACGGTCGTCCGCAGGCCACGAAGTGAAGTGTCCGAACGTCATAGGGCGGGAAGCTGGGTGTGGGTGGTGGCGAAGAGTCGTGTGGATATTTGGTAGAGCTTGCACTGCCCCCCCACAAAGTGGGGGTATTGGCTGGCGTCGCATGAAAACCCTGGCACTGGTGAGAACACTGAGCGTTCGGGTAAAATGATTGTTGTTGTTGTTGTTGTTGTTGTTGTTGGTTGGTGTTGTTATGTGCTGTTGTTACTGGTTGTTCTTGGTTGTTGGTGGTTGGTTGTCGTTGTTGGTCTTGGTTGTTGTTGTTGCCGAGTACGCAAACCTGCACGAGGACACTACTGAACGCCCCAAGAGACAGCCCTATGAGAGCCCCAGGGGACTCATGACAACTCCGAGAGAGACATGTGCGCGCCCCTGCGGGGTGACCTAGCCTTACACGACCTTTTTACGCAGGTCGTCAACGCTGCACGCCATGTGGAAGCGATAGCATCTACGCGCGACCTTGCGGGGACATTCGCTGTAACTCTTACTCCTATCATCACAAATCGCCCCCTCTCCCCCACCAGACCTCTCCAGGTAACGTTTTAACCAGAGTTTCGCAGTGGATCTGGCAGTGACGACGAAGGTGCCCCCAGAGGCCCAAAAATGACGAACATCCCCATAACGGACGCGACCCTCGGACCTCGATCCTCCTCTATCCTTGATCCCGACCTTCCCAGGAGCGCCACCACAACCAAAGGTGCCACCAGAGTGTACTGGTCACTGGGGGGCTCAATGTGGCAGGAGGGTCCTGGGGGGTTCTGGGGGGGCCTGGGGACTTTCGGGGGGTCCGGGGGGGAGGAAGAGGACGGAAGGGGGAGGGAGGGGGGGATGGAGGAAGGAGGACCGATCTTTGAGCCAACTTAGGCCGTCTCGGAATCGTATTGGACCCCTCCTGGTCCAGCTTGGGGTCTCTTGGCCCGTCTTGGTCGCCTCTGGGGCCATCCTGGGGGCCTCCTGTGGCTGTCTTGAAACTCTCTGGGAAGCTCTTGGGGCCCTCTGGAGCCCTCTTGGTAGCCTCTTGGGGCTCTCTTGGGCGGTATTGGATTTCTCTTGGGTCGTCTTGGTGGTGCCCTTCGGCTGGGAAACTGGGGACATCTGCGAGAACCATAGAGAAACAATGATTGTTGCTTACTTGGGCCCACTGAGGATGCCTCTTGAAAACCTCTTGGGGCAACTTGGAAGCATCTTGGACCGTGTTGGAGCCATCCGAAGGCGTTTGAAGGCCTCTAGGGCCGTCGTGGAGCCAACTTAGGCCTTCTTGCAATCGTCTGAGACCCCTCCTGGGCCATCTTGGAGGTCTCTTGGGCCGTCTTGGGCACCCCTGGGGCCATCCTGGGGGCCTTCTGTGGCTGTCTGCAACCTCTCTGGGAAACCTTTGGAGCCCTTGGGGTGGGAAACTGGAGAAACAAACTTCACAAACCATCGAACATAACGTATGATTACGTTTCTGGGCCCTCTGGGGCGTCTTGGAAGCCTCTTGGAGGGTCTCGAGGCCATCTGAGGTCGTCTTGACGGCCTCCGCGACCGTCGTGGAGCCAACTTGGGCCGTCTTGGAATCCTCTTGGGCGCCTCCTGGGCCATCTAAGAGGTCTCTTGGGCCGTCTTGGGCGCCTCTTGGGGCTCACTTGGGCGGTCTTGAATCTCTCTTGGGCCTCCTTGGTGTCCTTGGGGCGAGAAACTGAACCACAACCGTCAAAAACTATCGGCAATCAATGACTGTTGCTCCTTTGGGCCCTCTGATGAAGCCTCTTGGACGCCTTCTGGAAGCCTCTTGGACGTATTGCACCCATCTTAGAGCGTCTTGAACGCCTCTGGACGGGGGCGGCCGCAGGAGCGGCCGCGGCGGCGGCGGCCGCCGCGGCGGCGGTGCGGGCGGCGACGACGGCGATGGCGACGGCGACAGCGACGGCGACGGCGACGGCGACAACGACGACGACGACGACGACGGCCGCAACCACGGTCCGGTCTACCCTGGTAGGACTACAAGTAAAGTGGTAGTAGTAGTAGTAGTAGTAGTAGTAGTAGTAGTAGTAGTAGTAGTAGTAGTAGTAGTAGTAGTAGTAGTACTAGTAGTAGTAGTAGTAGTAGTAGTAGTAGTAGTAGCAGCAGCAGCAGCAGCAGCAGTAGTAGTAGTAGTAGTAGTAGTAGTAGTAGTAGGTAGTAGTAGTAGTAGTAGTAGTAGTAGTAGTAGTAGTAGTAGTAGTAGTAGTAGTCGTAGTAGTAGTAGTAGTAGTAGTAGTAGTAGTAGTCGTAGTAGTCGTAGTCATAGTAGTCGTAGTAGTATAGTAGTAATAGTAATAGTAATAGTAGTAGTAGTATTAGTAGTTGTAGTAGTAGTAGTAGTATAGTAGTAGTAGTCGCAGTCGTAGTAGCGTAGTCGTAGTAGTAGTAGCAGTAGTAGTAGTAGTAGTAGTAGTATGTAGTAGTAGTAGAATAGTAGCAGTAGTAGTAGTAGTAGTAGTAGTAGTAGTAATAGTAGTAGTAGTAAGAATAATCGTAGTAGTAGTAGTAGTAGTAGTAGTAGTAGCAGCAGTAGTAGTAGTAGTAGTAATGGCACTAGTAGTGGTAGTTGTAATAGTAGGAGTAGTACGCGCAGTAATAGTAGTAGTACGGGTAGTAGTAGTAGTAGTAGTAGTAGTAGTAGTAGTAGTAGTAGTAGTAGTAGTGGTAGTAGTGGTAGTAGTAGTCGTAGTAGTAATACTAGTAGTGGTAGTAGTAGACGCAGTAGGAGCACAAATGAAAGTATAAATGATGAGCGTAGTAGTAATAATAGTTCGGGCCATCGTAGTAGTAGTAGTAGTAGTAGTAGTAGTAGTAGTAGCTTTTGTAATCGTCATCGTAGGAGTAGTAGTATTAGTAGTATCAGTAGTAGTAGTAGTAGTAGTAGTAGTAGTAGTAGTAGTAGTAGTTGCAGCAGTAGTAGTAGTAGTGGTAGTGGTGGTAGTAGTAGTAGTCGTAGTAGTAGTAGTAGTAGTAGTAGCAGTAGCAGTAGTAGTAGTAGTCGTAGTAGTAGTAGTAGTGGTAGTAGTAGTAGTAGTAGTAGTAGTAGTAGCAGTAGCAGTAGTAGTAGTAGGCGTAGAAGTAGAAGCAGAAGTAGTAGTAGTAGTAGTAGTAGTAGTAGTGGTAGTAGTAGTAGTAGTAGTAGTGGTGGTAATGTTTAGTAGCAGTAAGAGTCACAGTAGTAGTAGTAGCGTCGTAGTAGTAGTAGGTAGCGTTAGTCATAGTCGTAGTAGTAGTAGTAGTAGTCGTAGTAGTAGCAGTAGTAGTAGTAGTAGTAGTAGTAGTAGTGGTAGTGGTAGTGGTAGTGGAAGTGATAGTAGTCGTAGTAGCAGTAGTAGTACTCGTACTTGCTGTAGTC